GTATGTTGGTTGGGTTATTTAGACCAAACTCTAATATTAAATCCCAAGGGTCCCATATTGACAAGACTTTGGCCGGCACGTAGCTCTAGCATAAACCAAATAAAATCTACACGGAAGACTTTGAAAAAACACAAAAAAAAAGAGAAATTTTGTAAAAGAAGCCAAAATAAACAAAATTGCCCTAATTTATTTTTGAATTTTTTAAGGAATCCTTTATATTTGCATGTCTTTGATTTGAAAGTTGAGAGGTTTTTATGTTTTTTTAAAAAAAGCTTTGGCTTTTTCCAAAAGTGAATTTTTTTTTGCTAAAACCTAAATTTACTTTATATATAAATAACCTATATCATTTAATTTTTATAAACAAACTATAAAAAAATCCAAAAAATGACGACCCTATTGAATGTTTTGGATTTTTTATTTATGAGTTTTTGGGGTTGGATTTGTTTTAAGTAATTGATGACAGTTTTGTAATTTAAAAAAGTTAAAAGTCTTTTTATAAATGTTGTACATGGGCTTTTGGTATGTTTTTAAAATCCATTTCATATAGGTTTTTTTTAATAATTTGGACCTCTATATTGGGTATAATATTGAATCTCCCAAAATTAAACTGATTTTATATGTAATTATTGATTGCTTAACTTGTGATTAGCCACCTTATCCTTTGTTAAACAACAGATTAATTGAAACGAAACACAATTAGCAAATATAATAAAGGAAAGGTGCCAACTGTGATCTACTTTGTGTAGCTCAGTTGCTAATAGTAGAATAATATGGATTGGAACAATCAAAAGCCAATGAAATTTGGTTAGCTAGTTGACAATAAGTTGGCAAAAACTGTTGGATATTTCCAAACTAGGTGACACGTTGCATTGTGATGGCTGACCACAAACAAATGTTTAATATAAGATTTGGTGCCTCTTTTAATAATGATTTAGTTGGGAGTGTGATAGCGTGAGTTTGGAACCAAGTAGAACATTAAAAAATCTGGTTCTGTCCATTTGGAGAAAATCACACTAAGCACGCCTCTAACCCTCGATTTTTATAGCATCCAATCAAATAAAAAGGGGAGCATAACGAATAATGATCGCCCTTTTAATAGACGAGAAATTATTGTATAATATCGGAATATTGTTATGTAGTATAATTTGTTCACGTGTTATAATTTGAGTAGACGACATAATTGATATTTTCTATTTACTGTACTTATTTGTAAAAAAAAACTAACTCATAATCGATTGATACTTTTAATTCTCAAAATTAAAAGGTATCAAATTTGAATCACACTCTCTAGTTATTAGAAGCAGTTGCATTCAGAGGTTTCTTGTTTGAATAGCCGCTTTTTAGTATCGTTTGTATATATAAAAATCAGTTCATCAACAAATAAATTGTAATTAAAGTTTTAAAATGCATTTTGATATATTTTTTTTCTAGGTTTTCCTTGGGATAATGGTAAGGCTTCTGGTGTGGAATGTGGGATCCATACTTTAGCTTTAAAACCAAACCACTGTATAAAAAATTGGTTCTCACTTTTTAAAATGGTGTTTGTGGGTCATGAGAAACAAAATAAATTAATATTTTTTTAAAAAAGGCAAAAGTAAAAAAGTGATGCCTGTGTAAACGGGGGTCGGCTTATCACTACATGAGGTTTAGCTATGACACGGATTAGACCCACCAGATGATAATGGACGTGGGCCCCATTGTCGACGCAACGTCCAGGAGGTTTTTTTTGTTTAATTTTTTTTTCTTCTTCTGCTCTGTACCTTTTTGGTTTCATGCATGTTAGGGCAGTGGAAGTTTGATTCAGTTTGGGCCACCGTTTTTAGTTTTAATTTTCAAAGGTAGGTTTCCTTTTCACTTTAGAAAAGTATCAAAGCTTTTCTATTTTTATTGTTTTGGATAATGATAAAATACAACAAAATGGTAATGCACAGCCACATTAAAGTTATTCCAATAATTACATTATTACGGGTATTGTTACGCGGACCATATTTATTCACTATATTGTTGATTATCTCTCTAATATAGATAGGGCTCATTTTTATTAGAACACTTCCACTTCATTTGTCATGGTAAAGGACAAGAGGAGGCAGGGGCAATTACTGTTCATGTGAATAGTGATTGCTTTAGCAATTTTTTAAGAGATATTTAGTCATATACCCATTCTTAGCACTAATAATATAGATAAACCCTACACCATTTAATTTATATAAACAAACCAAAAAAAAACAAACAAACAAAATGACAGCTGGCCCGATTGAATTTAATTTTGATTATTAAATTACTTTGATACCCTATTGAGTGTTTTGAGGTTTTTTTTTATGAGGTTTCGAGGTTGGGTTTGTTTTAAGAAATCAATGGCAGTTTTGTAATTTAAAAGAAGTTAAGCCTTTGTTATGTTGTAAATGAGATTTGGGTGTGTTTCTAAAGTCCATTTCATATATGTTTTAAAAAAAAATAATTTAGGCTCCTATATTAGGTATAATAATGAATCTCCCCTTTTTTTTTATTATTATTTTTTATGCATTCCCACCCATTGCCATGACAACCTAAGAGTAATAACCATTCACATGAGATATGAAGAGAGGAATTTGTATGGAGTTTTAGTGTGGGAAGCGAATAATATGACTGGTATTTATAGAAAAAAAATTCTAAAAATTATAGACAGCATGAGGTCAGCTTGCCCACACAACAGACCAAGCAAATCTTGCCTTTGGGCTTGACCAAGCTAGTGGAGGCCAGCGCTGGCCCTAGCAAGCCTTGACTACTGGAAATGGGATTGTCCTTGCTAGCCTCTCCCACTTAAAATGCTTCTAAAGAGATAATAAATAATGTGGTACAAATAACATTATTGTTACATCAATTCGGTACTATAAGGAATGGAGAATCAAATTTTAAACCTTTTTCAATATTAGAAAGAGAAATATTACCGATCAATAATCAATTGGTATCTAATACTCGAGTTAGTTCTCGTAACTTTTTAGGATTAAAAGAAAATTTTATACGAGATAGTGCTTTTTTAACTCCCTCAAAATGGAATATATTGTTAACAAATTCAAATATAAGATCACCACTTTGTTGAAGTTTGACTAAATTCAAGCCCAATTTGTTTGGGTTTGAGCAAGCTCCTTTAGCCCACTTGTTTGATGGCTTGGGATTTTAAAGTTCCTCATTTGATCTAACGAAATCAAGTGACTAACAGATCTAATAAAATCATTGCACGATGATCCTCATAAATAAAACATTTTGGATCCTTCACCCTTGATATCAATATATAATAAATACAAATTTATAAATAAACCCAATCCTAGACATGTATTTATAAAAAAACCCAAGCACTATTTAAACATAGAAACACACCCAAAATCAACCCCAAAGTCAATTTTTTGGGTGTGTTTATAAATGGGTTTTGAGTGTGTGTAATGATGGGTTTTGGGTGTGTTTATAAAGTGTTTTGGGTGTTGGGTTTTTTTATAATTTCAACCTCCATTTTGGGTGTTTTAGTGAAACTCCCTATAATAAATGGACGAATATATCCATAGTCATTTAATCCCGGGGTGACCTTATTCATTCATTTATTTATACCAACGGATTTAATCCTTCAGTACTTTGACATATTGAAAATAGATCATAAATTCGGAAAATTAGAAATAGAGAAGAGATGAATGTGAATGAGATCAACTACTCCCTAATCAATGTAATTTATAGTTTTTCAGATATTAAATTATGAATTATAATGTGAAATCCAACGTAAATTTTGATTTCTTATGTGGTAGTAATTGTAGGAAAAATCACAAACTAAAATAATTATAATATTCATTTATTAACTAGTAAATACCAAAATATATATTTTTTGAAATAATTATAATACTCATAACGACGAGTAAACATGCGGACCATTTGTCCCAAATGACTGAAAGCTCCTTGTCGTCATTAACTATACAAATTCATTTGAAAAGGTAAACTACGCAAAATTCATGGTCATAAACCGTTTGATTGAAATTCAATGCTTGATATGAATTTTAAAAGGTAAGATACTTCATTAAAAGCCAACAATTATTGTTCACAGTGATTTTTCATAATAGTTTGATGCGTGTTTGAGGTCATTTGTGGCTTTGAGTGGAGATATGAGTTTGGTGTTGTCGATTGATCTCTTCATATTGGTTGTAACCTCTTTGGATTGCCCTCGTGGCATAATTTATCATACAATCTTCTTACTGTTAATTTTTTTATATATTTTAACATAATGACCCAAACTCTGTAAATTATAAGTTAATTATGCATGTTATGAACATAGGGGCTCCAAGAAAAGCCATAATCATAATTATAATTATAAGATTTAAAAAATTGAGAACAATTTTATGGGGATGGTTATTTTGTCAAATTAACTAATTTAAAAATGTAAAATCCTAATCCAAAAACATGCCGTTCACTTGAAGGTGTTTTCTATCACAAGTCAATTGAGAGGTAGCTATCTATCATGGTCTTCTTCAAGCATTGGCTAATACAGATGTATGGATCCTCCTTGTCTGTAACTCCTAGTGAGCTGAGGTTCAAGTTCTGTAATTTACTCATTGTCTTGCAATTCTTGTGCTTGATTGCTTATGTTTTCTGATTTTCTGTATTGCGAGAACCTCCATTAAAGGATATGTTCTTCTTGTGTATATGTAGTTCCCATGTTGTTTAATAGAATTACGCTATTTCATAAAATTTTAAAAATCCTAATCCAAAAATTTTGGTCATATATTATTGAAGTAGTTTGAATTTTGGTCATTTAATAGAGAGTTTGTATGCCCAAAAAAACAAACAAACCAATTCAGCCAACGTAAATACCAAACGTACCAAAACCCTCTCCTTCACTTAAACAGGCACCAAATTTCAAAAGGCCAACTACGTACAAACAATTGAAAAAACCGAAACCCTGCTCTTTCTTTCCCTGCTGAGGTTTTAGGTCCAATATTCCATAGCTTCCTTTCGCTCACTTTCTCGCGAACCAAACAGAGATGGGGAAGAACAAAAGCAAGGATGGTGGCAAAACGAGAAGCGAAAGCGAGCACTCTGCCTCCACTGTCTTCGTCTCCAACTTGCCCTACTCTTTCACCAACTCTCAGGTACTCTCTCTTTCTCACACCCTAGTTTTGCTCCTGTTTTTCGTTTCTTTACTGAAATAGAATCACTCAGATTAGTTGAATAGTTGCATTACAATCTGTTTATATGATTGCTGTTCTATTTGTTCTTTAAGTTGAAATTTTCAGTGCTGCTTTAGTAATGAAGGCTTTGTTCATTGTTTGTTTTTCTTTTAAACCTCAGCTGGAGGAGACATTCAGCGACGTCGGACCAATTAGGCGGTGCTTTCTGGTTACCCAGAAGGGTAAGCCAAAATTTTGCAAAAATGGAGCTCTACGATTAGATTTTACTTCAAATTTTTACGGTTTCAGAGATTAATGTTATTATTTTTTACAAATTTATAATAATTCTGTATGTTCTCTGTTTTTCGTATGTGGTTGATAAATCTAGTATAACTCGAAAATGTGAAAATCATACTGGGTTGGGCAGTTTTGGTACTTTATTATGTTTCTTCTTTTTAAAATTTAAAATTTCATTTTTGTAAAGAAACCAAATTGAATAAAAGCAGTTCCAGTATTTTTGGATAAGTTTTTCTGCATCCATAATGAGATTAGTTAGGGACTGGCACTTATCTGCCCGCCATTGTATCGAATTCGAAGCCAAATCAGCTGCACAATGGCCCCAAGATAAGCTCAGACCATTGAATAAGGCCCAGAGGGGTGAACTTTGATTACTTGCCCAACCCCCCAAGTAGTAGCAAACCCCAGAATCCAATCACCTTTGCTGTCTTGAATCACCACAACAGTGCCTTCAGCAAACAGTCCTCCCATTGCTAAAATGAGGTTCTAGAACTGCCAACATCTCCATCCTTTAGAACTTTATCAAGTTTTTCACAGGAACAGATTAGAAGGAAATGACCCAAAAATAGCAAAGGAGATCCTCCACTTAACACCTACTAGAATTACCTTGAACCAATTTATTGTACTCCCCTAATCCCTCAGATTTTCTCTTGATCCTCTGGTAGCATACTAGGATTTGCCAACTTAACCTCAATTAGAACCTTTTCTACTTCCTTCCTATATTGAAATATTTTAAAGCTTTCTTATCCATAGATTCCTTCAGGCCACCCTTGGTTTTCAACCCTTGTGTGAAATCTTCAGTAGTCGGGGCACTAGCTTTCTCAAGTCCAAGATGCAAACTATTCTATTCCCCTTCTTCTTGCAGTACCTGTAACCTCGTTCATTCAGCTGTTGGATACTCCTCTTACCTCGAATTGGTTTATTGGTTCTCTTAGGTTCCCTCTGGTTTTGTCTAGCGTCGATGTAAGGCCCCCCCCTCCAGCCTTGCTTTCCTTTGCTGCTTCTTTTAGCACTGCCTCACCCTTTCCGGTATAACTTGGAGTCAACCTAGCTTTACTTTCTTCTTTCCATCACATCCCTTCCATACAACCATTACTCCTTTGTCTCTGCTTGCCACAGATAAAGCAATCTGATGGAGTCCCTCCCATTCCACTTACCCAAAAATCATCAAAACAGATGTGAGGAGTAAATGACTTAGAAACATCCAATTCAACATTGAGGCGCGAACCTTGGCTTGAGGTGCGATTTCAATGTTAACTTTATTGATAAGTCCTAGCCGTAGCACATTACCTACTTTAAGAAGCCCTTTATAATAAAATGCTTTTCACGAATACCCAAGTCCAACCCAATGAGTTGCATTCCTCCAAATCAACTTGATTCCATGCCTTCACTTATGGATGACTAGTTAGTGGCCAACAATAATATACGATACCTCCATGACCACAAAGAACGTGTCCTCCCCCAAATTAAACTGAACAACATGGTAAAAGTTATCTAGATGTTGGCAATCTCCCTTCACACATAATTTTGGATCAGGTAAAGTAAGATGGTTTCGGGTTTGGAGGTACAAGCATAAGCAAAAAGAACTTGAAACAAGAGAAGGAAGCGATGGGAAGTTAATAGTAAAGTGTGGCTGTCTTATAAACTTTTTACTAGGAGGAATATGGAAATGATCAAGCACATTGAGAAGCTTGATTAATAACTTGTTTCATAAGATGTTCTATTTGTCATATGCTTTTCATTTCCTTTTCTTCGCCATCTGTAGATGTGGGTTTGTGGATTTAACATGCTTAGGTCAGAATGTTTCTAATCTGTCTCATTGCATTGTTTACAGGGTCAACTGAGCACCGTGGTTTTGGTTATGTTCAATTGTAAGTCAAGTTCATTGCCTTTCCTATTATGTATTCTTTATTGTTATGTTTGTCATTTGTATTATTAAATCATGATGATTAAGGGTAAATGAATGTTTTGAAATTCCATAATGTGTTTTGAGGGCTAAAGGGTTTCTTCAGGAGTTTTTAGTTTAGAAGATATTACAGTAGTATGATAATATGAAATTGTATTTGAGGTTTTAAACTTTTGAACACTTTTATGTTGTACTTTGCATCTATTTGTAGCGCTGTCACAGAAGATGCTAATCGTGCTATTGAGCTAAAGAATGGTTTGTCCATTGGAGGTCGAAAAATTGCAGCCAAACATGCCATGCATCGTGCTTCCCTTGAACAACGAAGATCAAAGACAAATCAAGGTTGGTATCTCATCATAGGTTGGACATGCATGTATGTTATAACCTTTGTTTCTAATAAAGATAGAGAAGGAAAAGAGAGAAGAAATTGGTAAGACGGATGATAGAGGTGAGGAAGAGGTGTAAAATATGAAGAATAATGTATAAAATAAGAACTGAACACATTGTATAGTTTTAAATTTCTCTTTCCTTCAACTTTTCTTCACCACTCACATCTCTTGTCTCCGTTCTCTTTTCTTCCATATATTTTCCCTGTTTTTCGTTAACTTGAAAAATGTTATCCAACAGGTTTTTTAATAGTCTCAATTACTTTTTCTGCACTATTGGTTTTGTTTTTCTTACTACCTTTTGGTTAGGACTCGACTTGGATGAGACCTTGAAGTCAAAAAATGACAAGGATGGTGAAAATTTCAAAGCAGAAAAGGATGCTTCGAGCTTGCAGGAAAGAGGTCGCAAATCTTAACATTTAAATCATGCTATTGTTATTTTCATCATTTTTCTTAGCTATTTGGAGTTGTTGCTTTGGATAAAAATACAGAGAAACCTGTGAAGGCCAGAAAAACAGCTGCACTTTGTAATGATGCAGTGGCAAAAGTGGGTGGTTCAGAAAAGCAGAGGTACTGAATCTTCCCTTTCTTCTTATGGACGGTGTAGTTTTCTTTTCCTGCCTTAGAATCAAGTGATTCAGTCGTATATTTATTAAAGCCTTGTCTTTGAAGTAGAACAAGGTGTTGTTGGTTCATATTGTAATCCTTGTCGCGATCTATAGTTTTAAAATATCAATTTCCTGTTAATGCTACATGTTTTTGTAGAAATATTTTCTTCTTCTTCTTGTTTTTCTAATGAACAAGATTTCTTAGTAATAATATTAATAATAAATAATAATAATAAATAATAATAATAATAATCAATATGCAAGGTGCTCGGTGAAGTAGAGGTCAACAAACATCTTCATACATTTCTCATAAAAAGCAAAACGGAACTACAAATCTCATAAAATGACACAGAATGGAGCCCTAATGAAACAGATGATGTGGAGATAAAGTTTTAATTTTGGATTCAACAAAGAATCTGATGTTGATAGATTTTTAATGTCTTATGAAAAAATAAATTATTTCTGGGATTGTAGAGCTCAATTTCGGAAATATAGTTTGTGATTATTCATGCCAATTCAGAAAATACAGTGTCAGCAGCTCCTGAATGAAAGGATTATTTATGTAAGGTTTCCTATTTTTAATTTTAGCTTTTGCTAAGTTTGTAAGAATCTGGCTGCATGCACGCACAAAGTTAGTGTTAGATTTATTGTCTTCTGATATTTATGTATTTGAAAGAGTGATCTATGTTGATTAACTTTGAAACTTGGATCATGTCAAGTAGAGCCCTTTTAGAAATTCTTTTAGCATAAAGTGTTACCTAGTATAGGTAGTTGTATCCTTTCTTAATTCCATCTTCCAATTTAACATTGGATTAGTAGGCAACATGGTTACCAAGGTTTCCCTAACATTTTTGGTGCTTTGTTAATTTTTTTCCTGTAATACTGGATTTCACTGTATTAAGTTCCTGGCACCCACCTAAATGTTGGGTTCTCAATTCAACTGGGACAATGATTTTTTTCCCAAGCTGCATTCTGTGCTAAATTCTACTTATCTCTGTTTTATATATAATCTAGATACAGTATGACAAGTGATAATGTCAGTTTCCAGAAATGGTGGTCTGATATATTTAGTCTCTTATTGTTGTGTAGGGTTGCTAGGACAGTCATATTTGGTGGTCTTGTTAATGCTGGTATGGCAGAAGAAGTTCATCGTCGAGCCAGGGAGATTGATGCCGAATGTTCAATAACTTATCCTCTTCCCAAAGAAAAGCTTGAACAACATGGTAAGGGATTTTTTCTTTTGTTTTTGCTTCTACCCCGTCACCCTTACTTTTCGCAGGTTTTTTACTTTTTGCAAGTAAATGAGGTTGGTTGGTTTAATATATTGAGTTGAAACTTGAAAATTGTTTTCCTCTGTCAGATTTTTTCTTTGGCTGTTGTCACTTGAAATCATTGTTATGGAGAATAATATTAGCCATTCCTAGAAATTTTATTCAGTTTGGGATGGTGAATCAATCATATCTGTTGTGCCTTTTCAGGTCTGATGCAAGATGGATGCAAAATGGATGCTTCATCTGTACTTTATAACAGTGTTAAATCAGCACATGCTTCTGTTGCAACGTTACACCAAAAAGAGATTAAAGGCGGAATTGTTTGGGCACGCCAGCTGGGTGGGGAGGTAAATCATATGTGTACAGCTTACTACAATTCGGAAGTTGTTGAATTGCTCTAGCTCATACATTCCTTATTTGAACCAATTTAAGGAGTTCCATTGTTTCTAAGTAATTTTGGGTTTGGGATTTGTTGTTACCATTTCAAGTTGAGCTCTATTTGTTCTTGGATATAGTTCAGATAGATAATAAAAAGGACGAGGCACAGATATTATAGGTTTTAGAGTATCTGTTGGGCAGTACAGGGACCAGAGACAAAAAATGTGTGCAGAATACTGATGTTGACATGCTCTTACTTTGCGTGCAAGTTAAAAACCAGCATTGAGATTTTGTAAGAGATAAAGTAAGGCATTTTTTAAAATATCTTTTTTCCCACATAGGTAAAAATTCCTGGCACCTGCCTACTCATAATTAAAAAGAACCAGCATGGATATTTTGCATTATCAGTTGTTAGTCATGTTATTGTTGTCATTGATGTTATTTGCAGTGATGGTGTTATTATATTTGCTTAGTGTTGTCATTTATGTTATTGGTGGTGGTGGTGTTATTATATTTGCTTCTAAACATCTCGGTTGTTTTTCTGGGCCAGGGTGCCAAGACTCGGAAATGGAAGCTCATTGTTAGAAATATTCCTTTCAAGGTATTTTTTTTCTAATTTTGTTGTCATATGACATTCTTTTTCCTTTGGGGAGAGCTTAAATTAAACTAGTTTGCTTACACAAATGCAGGCCAAAGAGAATGAAATAAAAGAGATATTTTCATCAGCAGGATTTGTCTGGGATGTAATTATACCACACAATTCTGATACAGGGTATATTGTCATTGTCAATTATTGTTTTTCTCTCTTAATGGAAATATCTTTTCTGTTCTTCATTCTTATTTTAAATTTTTATTCCTCATTTGCAGGTTACCTAAAGGTTTTGCATTTGTCCAATTCACACGCAAACAGGATGCAGAAAATGTACATTTGTGGTTTGTGCTTTAGTTTTGGAGTAAATAATGAAGCCCTGGGTTCATTAACATTTTTCTTTTTCTTTCTCAGGCAATAAAAAGTTAAATGGACAAATGCTTCATAAAAGACCCATAGCTGTTGACTGGGCTCTTTCGAAGCAGATATACGGTAGTGTGACTGTAAAAAACGCTCTTCTTGCTTCAGACGATGGTAATTGTGGCATTACTGTAACTCTATTCTCATTTAGCACACTTTTTTCTTACTCTAATGCTGTTATTAATGAATACATACTTTATTTTGGTACTTTTATGATTGTATGTACATCTAATGATACAAAAGCACCGATTTTTACAGGACAAAAGGATGGAAGTGAGGGAGAAAATGATAGTAGCAGTGAAGATTTAGAGGGTGATGATGGGCATTTCAGTAAAAAGTCTGAGCACCATGATGGAATCGACAGCGATCCTGATAGCTCTAATACCATAGAGAAGAAAGACATCCCTACTGAAATAAATTTTGAAGAGGAAGTGGACATTGCAAGAAAAGTTCTAAAGAACTTGATCGCACCATCTGCTACAGAAACTCCTCATGATGATCTCGCACTGCCCCAAGGGGACAAGGAGCCATCTATTTTTGAATCTTCTGAGGAGCCCAGTAAATCATCTTTTGAGACTGCAAAAGCATCAGACGTTACTAAGCCTGAAAAGTTAAGCAAAAGCATGGCACCAAATCTTGAACAGACAGATGAAGAGGATGATTTGCACAGAACAATTTTCATAAGCAATCTTCCTTTTGATATCAATAACGAAGATGTCAAACAAAGGTTTTCTACCTTTGGGGAACTTCAATCTTTTTTCCCGGTCCTTCATCCAGTCACCAAGTATGCTTTAAACTTTTGGTTTGATATGATTCCTACATCTTTATTGTGTTTGAAATTACATGTGCTATTATGTTGTGGCAGGCGACCAAAAGGAACTGGCTTTCTCAAGTTTAAAACAAAAGATGCAGCCAGTTCTGCAGTTTCAGCGGGGAATGCTGCATCTGGCCCGGGGATTTCTCTTAAGGGCAGACAATTGACGGTCTTGCAGGCTTTGGATAAAAAATCGGCTCATGATAAGGAATCAAATATGGCCAAAAAAGAGGATCTGGACCGCCGCAATCTCTATCTGGCAAAGGTTATTTCTTTTACAAACTTCCTTTCCCCATCTTTACTTGCTTATCTGGATTTCACACTTTGTTCTACGTGTAGTGGCTATTTTAATGGATTATCCTGAATGGTTGGCATTTTCTTTCCTCAAAATATTAACAGGAAGGTCTTATTCTTGAGGGAACTCCAGCTGCAGAAGGGGTTTCGGCTAGTGATATGTTGAAACGCCAAATGTAAGTTTATTGATTTCTTTGTTTCCCTAGATATTGCATATGCATAGCCTCTCCATGGGATACTGGAGCACGATACAATTCGTACATGATTTTATTTGGACAAAATCTCTTTCCAATAAAATCATGTTTTAATTTTATTTTTTTAAAAATTTTAATTTTAATTTTTTTATAAGTTAAAAACTGGTAAAACAAAGATGAAATCCTCTACAAGCTTTAGAAAAATATTTTAAAATTTAACAAGACAAAGTAATATCAGAATTTGTAGTTTTTAACAGATGTCAGCTAAACATTGGTGCTGCTTCGGTATTCAAATGCTGATTATTTTGCTGCTACTTCATGTTTCACATTCCTTTGCAACATATTTTAGTGAATTTCTGAAACCATGCAGGGAGGAGAGGAGCAAGATGATGAAACTTCAATCTCCAAATTTTCATGTCTCGAAGACAAGAATATTTATAAAAAATTTGCCGAAGTCCATGACTGCAAAAGAACTAAAAAAACTTTGTATTGATGCTGTTACCTCACGAGCTACAAAACAAAAACCTGTGATCCAACAGGTTAGCCAGTCAATAGTTACATTGTCTCTATTTGAGGCTTTTTTTGGGTATATATGTATGCTTTCTCTTATTTGTAATTGATATTGTTCATGCAGATAAAGTTCTTGGAGGATGTGAAGAAAGGAAAGCTTGTCGCAAAGAATTTCTCTCGTGGAGCTGCTTTCGTTGAATTTACAGAGCATCAGCATGCACTTGTGGCCCTGAGAGTTTTGAACAACAATCCTGGTAACTTAATTCCTCAAAAGTGTAAACATATGACGCTGATTATTAATAATCTCTAAAATGCAGTCTCAATTTCAGTCTTATTATGTTGAAAAAATATGTATTCAAATGCATTAACTCCATTGTATTATAATTTAATGTGATGCAACTTGCAGAAACTTTTGGTCCTGAGCATCGCCCAATTGTGGAGTTTGCACTTGAGAATGTTAAAAAATTGAATATACGAAATGCTAAGATACAAGCACAGCAGCATGCAGCTCATCGTAATCGGGAAAACGTGCATCAAAATGAAGGCTCAAATAGACCAGATACTCATCCAAGCAAGAAGTCCAAAAACTCGAAACAAAAAGGGGAGAAGCGAAAATTGGATGATTCAGTACCAAATAAAGAAGAAGTCGAAAATAAGTCTAGTGATGGAGCTGCCACCGAAAGACAGAGAGGTTCTAAAAGGCAGAAAAATGGTCCATTTGGAAAGGAAAAAAAGATTGTATCGAAGGTATCAGAACACTCAACAACAGAGAAGGCGGAAGGCTCAAAACGTGAACCAAACAATCATCAAGATGGCAGGAAGGCTGGTGGTGGAAGATCATCCGAAGGTGAAACCGTTGCCTTGGATGTGCAAAAATCAAAACCTTTGAGAAAGACAAATGTGCAACCTAATAAAAGGAAGCTACATGAGCAGAAAGAGGTAGAGGGGGGAGAGAATGTGACGAGGAGACAAAGACCAAAGAAGAATAAGGACCCATTAGGACGGGATGTTACAGATAAACTCGACATGCTGATTGAGCAATATAGATCCAAGTACTCGCAACGGAGCTCCGTCCAAACTGATGGTGAAAAGCAAGGTTCCCGAAAGCTTAGAAAATGGTTCCAAACATAATTTTATGTTGATTTTGTAAAATTTCATGATAAGTCTCACAAGAGAGGAGTAAAAGCAGTTGCTGGATATGCAGTTGCTATAAATTTTGCGCATTGTTTAACTTTTGGAAATATTTGTAAGCATGAATTTACTGTCTGGCATTTTGGTTGAATAACTATTGATTCCAGAATGTGTTTTTGAGGGCTAAAGGGTTTTCTTCAGGAGTTTTTAGTTTACAAGATATTTTAGTTGTTCTGGAAAATGTTTCCTTATTCAATTCAATGGTTTACAAACAGATACCACGTGGCTATTTGAAGCTCAACTTTGATTTTTTATTTATTTTTATTTCCTGGTTTTACAAAACAATTCATAATAACCCCAGGCGAAGAAAAAAAATAAAAAAAATTCAGAGTACGCGCTTCCACCATCGGCGGAAGAAATGTCAGTTTCTGAGGAAAATGCGAATATCCGAGACCACCATCGGCGGTTGCTGGCGGCGAAAATTCGAGCTGAGACGAAATCTGTACAAAGCCCTCTGCAAAGACCCGAGCCTTCCCAGCGAACTGCGCGAGGAGAACCGCTTCAAGCTCTCCAAGCTCCCCAGAAACAGCTCCTTCACGCGCGTCAGGAACCGCTGCATCTTCTCCGGTCGCGCACGCACCGTCTACGAGACCTTCCGTATGTCCCGTATTGTCTTCCGTACTCTGGCATCTAAAGGCATGCTCAATGGCATCAACAAAGCATCTTGGTAGCCACCGAACCGGTGCGTTTCGAAGTTCTTCATGTCCATTGTCTGCAGTTTTTCTGGTTTGTTTTAAAAATCGAAATGGTGTTTTGCTTGTAGCATATAGATATGAAGGGTATAAGCATGAGTCAGATAAATACAAAATAAATGTTTTTCTTATAGCATCCAAATAAATGTATCTCCTCCTCTGTGTTTCTGTTTTTTGTTTTGTTCAGTTGTTTGAATTTAAGTATTCTAATACTTTGCTCTAAATAAATATGACAACTTTGACTGATGTCCGTTGTACCATTTTTAATGGATTAATATGACACCCTATGACTTGCATGTTGAACCTGTTTTGCATCTTACAGTTTTCATCTTTTGTTTTTCTACAAAGTGGAATGGATGAACTTTTTGAAGATGGGGACTTTGGCGAATTTGTTTATGCATCTTTCTGTGGTTGTAAGATCCCCAGCTAAACGTAAGAATAGAAACGCAGAACCCCAGCAGAAATTGTTGGTGTTTGCCATTTTTCGTGACGTTAATGTTCATACACAATGACAATTTTTTGTGGGGATAAGACATGATAGCAGGTCAAGGTCTAATGGTTTTATAGGGCTGTCGGAAAAATATAAAACAGACTTGGCATCAGTTTTGTGAGATGGAGGTGTTGTTGTCAACATTAGGTAGAGACTGTAGAGGTTTCATTTGAAAGTTTGGAAGCAAGATACTGAATTTTTTGAGTAGTGGAAGATCGTCATCATGTATTTTTTATTGTTTAGAGAAATGAGGGTTTAAGCAAGCAAGAGAGAGGTACGTGAAACATATGGCTCTCTCAGCTTCAGAGTCAAGGAAAATGGTTGGCATCCAGCGTGTGTTTCTTGTTGACACATCCACTTTCCCCCTGTTTTGAGCTTCTATGCAGTATGTATAAATGCCTTTATAAAACAAGATTTAGTGTTCAGTGTTTTAGAGCTTATTAGATATATAATCTAATGGAAATTTTAATGTCAGTTTGAATGATTTTAATATATTTTGCTAGACAACCTAACAGACATTTGTTGTGTTGCTAGACTCTCAGTCTAGATCATTGGTTAGATGAAATCTTTAACCTAATAGGCAACATAAATGTCAAATATATGTGAAATTGGATTGTTGCCCTTATTGAATTTCGACATATTAAGTCTAGTGGTATTTCTCTTCCATATGTCAGAGTAGTTCCTAAGATCGCACTCTCCCGTTGATTTTTAGAAAATTAAAGTAATTGGTCAAAATTTGAAAGCTTTTATTTTTAAAAAATAGTATTTGAAAGCTTTTAATTTAAATGTGAACTAGTTTGACATTGTTCTTTACCTTCATTTGAACATAGGCAATAAGATATTTTGGCAGCACTCAGAACACGAGTGAAATCCACTATAAAAGATGGCTACCACATACCAACTAGCTCTTGATATAGTGGTACGTTTCTTCCCAATGTTGACAGATGTCTCAAATTCAAATCCTCCCTTTCCGATTGATAAAATAAATAAATAAATGATGGCTCCCACATAACCTAGTGAAAGATGGACATAACAAGCAAAATGGTTTTTCCTAGAGAGGTACGTACCATTTTTACACGACGGACGTAAAAGTTTCATTTGTCTATTTAAAATTCTAAAATCCTTAATAATATAGTAAGCAAAACAAGAAGAACCTTGCTTCTAAGCTTTGGGACCTATTGTCTATTCAATATCTGGTTGTTAGACTGCTTACTGAGGACAAAAGCTTGCAATGCCATCTAAAAATGGTATTGATCGCCATATAGCCACCCTTGCCATATAGTTAGGTCTCTAAGTGTTTGAAAGGAACATTTTGAATATTTGACCTTAGTTTTTCTTGGGCCCGATTAGTGAGCGCATGAGTCTGGTTAAGAATGTAAAGACATATTCCTGAGCTCAGTTCTATTGATTTTTAATGCTCCATATATATTCTCAATATATTATACAGTATATAAGGTCTTATAACGTTGAATTATTACCGTTTTCAGGGAACTCAAGCAAATTTCTTCTCGGCTATCAAACAGGCCACGATAGACCTTGAATCCAAACTACACCTCAAAAGAACCTCGCACATTTTTCTAAGAAATGACTGCACTTCAAGCCTGATTTCCACCTTAGCTTGTTGAAATTTTTGAGATCAAAGTTCATCTTGAATTTGGCTGTGATTGTTGACTATAATGGCAGATGGATTGAACCATTACAAGCAAAAGGGTGATTTTTGTTTCCTTTATAGGTTTAATTTGTTTGACTATTTCTCTTCATCTTTCCCCATCTCTTTCTTCCTGTAGTTTGCAATTTTGGGAACAGGGATTCTCTTTTTTGAATGCTTTGAATTTTGAAGCCTGACATGCATGGCTTAGGCCCTACTTGTGATCTGAACTATTTTGCTTTTCTGTTATCAGAGCTTCATCTTGTTAGAATTATTCATATGGGTTACTCTTCCATAAAGACTGATATCTCTCACTCACAACTTTTCGAGTTTGAATTGCGAAAGAAATTCCTCAGATATGTTTAATGCAGGTCTTTTTAATCTGACTGATTAAACCTACAAACTTGGGGCTGAAATAAATTTTGAAGAGGAAGTAGACATTGCAAGAAAAGTTCTAAACAACTTGATCGCATCGTCTGCCACAGAAACTCCTCACGATGATCTCGCACTGCCCCCAAAGGGGCAAGGAGCCGTCTATTTTGAATCTTCTGAGTAGCCCAGTAAATCATCTTTTGAGACTGCAAAAGCATCAGATGTTACTAGGCCTGAAAAGTTAAGCAAACGCATGGCACCAAATCTTGAATAGACAGACGAAGAAGATGATTTGTACAGAACAATTCTCATAAGCAATCTTCCTTTTGATATCAATAATGAAGATGTGGCCTCTAATGTAAAAAAGAGTCATCTATACTTAATCATTTCGGCCCCCCTCAAGTAACTCTTTCCATCTTTTCTCTTTTTTCATTAATTGTTCCGCAAAAGTTTTTCATCATATCTCAAACAAACGAGTGTTTTTAAACTTGTTATCCTTATTATGTTATGAAGAATGTCATCTTGCTTAGGGCAATCTTTGCATTCTATAAACATTCCCCTTTATTTTACAAGGAGAATCAAAGGTACATTCTAGCCGTCACCCTCACCCTATCCTTGTCCATATCACTTTAGCTAAAGCACATTTGTAGTACGTTAAAATAGTTCAATAACATCTTACTTTTTTTGTCTTTTCATTTTTCGGTACAAACAACTTATTCTTAAATAAAAGGGATGATAAGATACTAAACCTACACATACTACACGAATGTTAGGATTCGAACAAAGAACCTTTTCATTAGGAAGCAATCAAACCACTATACTAGTTAGTGGGTCCATTACTGAGTTTATTCGTTTTTAAATGTCCTATCAAGATCATAACATTGCCATGCCTAACATTAAGACTTCCATTTTCATTTACAATTCGGAGGAGAAAAGGCATGAAACATATGGGGGCGTATATGGTAATTCATATAACTTGTTAAAGCGAGAGTCGTACTTTAACATGTAAGTCTATGCTTTTCATTTTACGAAGGGGCACACTTTCATAGCCAAAAAGGCACCCAACGAAGGATCCTATGTTCTTTTGACCCCCAAATTCCTTTCTTTTGATTTTGTTTATCAAATCTCTGCTCCACTCACAACCAATTACAAGTTACAACCAACCATAAGTTTCCTATTTGTTAAAGCCTTTTAGCTATCAAAAGGGGGAAAAAAGCCTATAGACTCCGGGTTTTGATAAAAACGATAGTCTAAACTACTTTAAATATTGAGTTTTCAGTTCATTTTGCTAAACAAATTGTATTTGTTGACAGAAAAATGGAACTAGATATATATTTTTCATAATCTTGGCATAGTTCTAAGAAATGTGACTTCTATCCTTTTTAAGTGGTACCACTAAAAAAAATAATCCTCAATGTATATCTTCACTTTCTTCCTCCCAAATGACTATAGTATCTCAAATTTTCTCAACATGATATGAAACGTGGACAATGGACATGCTTGTATTGTATGTGGACATGGACATCTATCCTTAAAGAAATGTGACATCTATCCTTCATAAGTTGCAGCCATAGCTTAGCTTGAATGTGGACATGCTTGTGGTGTACAGCAGGTAAGATATAGTAGATCGATTCCATACCACCCATGCATGCGTCTCCTTGACAACGACAAGCATATAAATTAAGATTGGTTTTTGGAGGGAAACAGAATCACGGGATACTAAAATTGTTTTTGGAGGGAAAGCCATGTATTATTGGTTTGCATTTTGGCTTTTGGCCATAAACAAAGATTTGTTTGTGACAAAATTAAATTGACTGAAAACTCAAAACAGAAATTGCAGATTACATCAACTTCTGCTTTTGGTCTTTTGCTCAAATGTCCTAGCTTTCTTGTTTTTGTGTTTGTCTTCCCTTACTGTTCTTGAGCCAACTGTCACTGTGCCTGTGTATAGCAATAATTTGATTGAAGACAAAATGAAATCTACCTTTGTTGCTCAATAGTGAACACATTTCAAACTCCACTTTCCCATATTCCACATCTCTCTCTCTCTCCTCTCTCTCTCTCTCTCTCTCTCTCTCTCTCTGTGGGTGTGTGAGAGAAGAATGGGAGCTGCTAGCTCAGCTTGGAGTTGGGTTCTACTCTGCATAGTGTGGTGGTCTCTAAGTCTTGAGCTGGCACAGTGCAATGTTGTGTATGATAGGAAGGCTCTTATCATTGATGGGCAGAGGAGAATTCTCTTTTCTGGCTCCATTCACTATCCCAGAAGTACTCCTGAGGTATCACTTTCCAAATTCAAGTTCCATATTTTCTAACCAAATCTGGTTTTCCTATGCAAAATTCCAATGACCCTTTTGCTAATGGGAAATGGAAAATGAAATGCAGATGTGGGAAGGCCTTATTCAGAAGGCCAAAGATGGTGGCTTGGATGCCATAGACACCTATGTGTTCTGGAATCTTCATGAACCTTCTCCTGGCAATGTATAATGTTTTCTCTTAATTTCTTTACTTGTTCTTTGTTTTCTCCTTCCTATAAGTTGCATTTTGTCCACATTGTCCCTTTCTTTATTTTCATGATTTTTTATCTTTGAACTTTTTCGCATTGTAGTATAATTTTGAGGGGAGGTATGATTTGGCTCGGTTCATAAAGACGGTCCACAAGGCGGGGCTTTATGTGCATCTTCGCATTGGGCCTTATATTTGCTCAGAATGGAATTTTGGGTAATGAGCATTTTTCCTGAGCCACAGAGCTGAAACTTTGACGGGTTTATGTTCTTAACTTCTTCAAATTCATTTCTTTGATGATCTTTCCTTTTCACTTTTATCTTCTGTAGGGGGTTTCCAGTTTGGCTGAAGTATGTTCCAGGCATTAGCTTCAGAACAGATAATGAGCCTTTCAAGGTCCGTCCATGTGAAGATTTAAGCTTTCAATCAATTTTGTGAATTAATGTAGTATTTTGCTCATTCTGGTGTTGCAGTCAGCAATGCAAAAATTTACCCAGAAAATCGTCCAACTGATGAAGGATGAAAAGTTATTTGAGTCCCAAGGTGGCCCCATCATTCTTTCTCAGGTAAACTTCTGTCACCAATTTTCACTGCTTTGTAATTTCTAGGAGCTTCGTTTTGAGCACTTCTAGTTACAAGTTTCTCACTTTACACCAGTTTCAGATTTGATAGATGAGAAAAATGAAAAGAAGAAAAGAAATTGTATTGTTAATGTACTTTTGTGCAGATTGAGAACGAATATGAGCCAGAAAGCAAGGCTTTTGGGGCTTCTGGTTATGCATACATGACTTGGGCTGCAAAGATGGCTGTCGGAATGGGTACTGGGGTCCCATGGGTGATGTGCAAGGAACAGGATGCTCCAGACCCAGTGGTAAGCAAACTAGTCTACACCACTGAAATGTCCTAGTACCTATTCTATGCATATATCTTTGGAAAGTAAATAACTCATGTTCAACTATCATTCTTGTCTCCTTGTTATTTATTTAACCATCAAGCATCTCATGATTTACACTTATATTGGCTAATTTCACTAATTTAACCACTGGAAATGGAGAAATATTTTTTGTGTGTGGTGTTACTAATCCACATGTTATAATATGGGTGGACGACAAGGTTGATACTCTTTTTTTGTTGATAAAAGACAAAGTTGATACTTTAGGCACCCAGGGAGTGCTTAAATTATGAAAAAGAATTAATCATTGGGGTAGGGGGAATTCGAACTTGGACCTCTTTCAACCTTGGGAAGAGAAAGAAGTACTACTAGATCAAGAGCTGATTGATATGAAAATAAATGTACTTGTATGTCAGAAACTGCTTCAAATTTTACTGAGCCTAATTTATTGCTAGCAAGTCTAATTTACTTTGAATTCTTTAAATCCTGTTTACAGATAAACACTTGCAATGGTTTCTATTGCGACTATTTTTCCCCAAACAGAGTGTACAAACCCACACTATGGACTGAGGCTTGGACTGGCTGGTAAGTTCCAAGTTGCTAAAACAAATGGGAGGGAAGGATCAACCCGTTCAGTATAATTGTACATCTATCTTTGCTCTGAGAACCTGCTGCAAGAAAAGTAGATTGACCTTTTTCTGTGTACTTAAAGGTTTACAGAATTTGGTGGTCCAGTGTACCAGCGACCTGTTGAAGATTTGGCATTTGCAGTTGCCGGATTCATTCAAAAAGGAGGCTCCTTCGTAAATTATTACATGGTCAGTAAATTCATTCTAACAGGAGTCTCCAATAAGCCATTTCTGTATGTTAATATCTAGAGGACATAAGTTAAGTACGAAAACCTTGTACCAGATGTAAAAACTTGATTTGTAGTGACAACTCTAGAAGCCTGCATACCTTCTTTACTTATACAACATTACTGCAATCAAATGAAACATTATTTAGGGAAAGATATATAAAATTCAAGGGTTAGTTTTGAACCGGTAACAGCTAGCTAACTGCATGGAGGAATAAATGAGCTAAACTTCTAAATCATTGCATGCAGTACCATGGAGGAACCAATTTTGGGAGAACTGCTGGAGGCCCTTTTATTACTACCAGCTATGACTATGATGCTCCCATTGATGAATATGGTGAGAAAATTGACCCCATGTCTTCGCAATGGCTTTCAAAATTTTTAACGTAGATTTCTTCGCTAGTGTGATCTTTCTTTAAAGGTATATCTTAAGGTGTAAATAATTATCAGTTGCAGCCTTATAACTCTAGCTGTAATGACAGGTTTGATCAGGCAACCTAAGTATGGCCACTTAAAGGAACTCCATAAGGCTGTTAAGTTATGTGAGCCAGCTCTGCTAAATGCTGACCCTACTGTCACATCCTTAGGGAGCTATGGACAGGTTTGTCGGTTTATTTAAAGAGTCAGTGTGTAAGTAAGAATCATATATCACTTTGAATTTTCTATAGTAGAATCAGCATACTTTCAAAAATAAAAACTAAAAGTAACTTCATCTTCTACATATTAGTTAAGTAAGAAACCTATTAAAAGATCAAAAGATCTCTATGTTGAATCAAACTTATTCAGAAATTTATGAACTAGGCTTAAGAAATTTTTTACAGTAGTTTCAAAAGAAAATTTTCCTTGAAGATTCTTTCAAATCAAATTCAACTAAATTGATGTTTTTGCTAGTTAGGACATATGGAAGTGCATGCTTGTTTAAACCAGATTTGATACAAATTCCAGGCACATGTATTCTCTTTCAAGTCAGGAGTTTGTGCAGCTTTTCTCTCAAACTACAATACAAAGTCAGCTGCAACGGTGACTTTCAATAACATGAACTTTCACCTTCCCCCTTGGTCAATCAGCATCCTTCCAGATTGCAAAAATGTTGTATTCAACACTGCTCGAGTAAGTGACATAAAGAATGCTAATTTGGAATGCTAATTTAATGGTTTTATTTGTCATTTCTATTTTCCACAAGTTTGTCAGATATTGTACCATAAAAGGAAAGCCGTATGCCTTCTCCAACAAGATTGAAACACTCTTTCCTGAAATGATTTTCAGCTCGGATAGATTTTTCCTCAATGAATTACCTCAAATGTTAGGATAGCTGTAAAGTTTTGTGTAGTTTCATTCCACTTTAGTATAGTGTATAAACAGAAATGATAAACAGATAGTCATGCATTCCATTGCAGGTGGGAGTTCAGACATCCCAAACACAACTTTTGCACACTAACTCTGAATTGCGCTCATGGGAAATGTTCAATGAAGACATTTCTTCAGTGGCTGGTGATACAACAATCACGGTCATTGGCCTCTTAGATCAGTTGAACATCACTAGAGACTCCAGTGATTATTTGTGGTACACAACCAGGTTAGATAAAACCACTAAAATGTTTTATACTCAACATATCTTTGAAATTGTAAGTCCTATTATCAAAATTAATTTACCAATAACTTGATGTTTATAGAATCAACATAAGTCCATCAGAATCATTTCTGCATGGAGGCCAGCATCCCAGTCTAACCGTGCAGTCAGCTGGAGATGCTCTACATGTTTTTATCAATGACCAGCTCTCAGGTAAATTGTTGATAATCTTGTGTTTAGATAATTGCACCAGCTAGTTACTGATGTGAAAGCAAATAGTTCCCTGAGTCTGTTTAAAAGAAATATGTCCTTGATATTTAAGTGTTGGTGATGTGCTCTAATGATAGGATCGGCTTATGGGACTAGGGAATACAGGAGATTCACTTTTACAGGAAATGTCAACCTGCATGCTGGACTGAATAAAATTTCACTTCTCAGTATAGCTGTTGGATTGGCGGTTAGTTCTTTAATTTCCATTTTTGTTAACTTCCAATACTTAGTTTACAAAGACAATTTTGTTGTTGGATATTATGTCTCAGATACCTATAATGTGGCTTGATTAGTATTGTAACGTTCTACTTGGATTAGAAGTTTTGATTTGGTGTCTGTACGTACTCTTGTATCTTTGTAATGTCTATGGTTTATATAGTGGACTATCTACCTCCATGGATGTACACAGAGTTTCTCTAAATACTTTAAATTCTATCTCTTGTGTGTGCAATCTATTTTGTGATATGCTAGCATAACTGCATTCATGCCATCTAGTAGTATCATAAAGTAAAGATATTATATCCCGGAGGCTAGCAGCTTATGCTAAGATCCTTGGTGAAGGTTTTGGATTTGGAATAAGTAAAAGGTTTTCTTCAGATGTGTCATAGGCATTTGAAACTTCTATTTACTTATGTCGAAACATTATTAATTTTTGCTTATATTGATCTCTCTCTCCAAAAAGATTGAATCCTGTCTTATATTTTCTTGTCATATTTCACTCATTTAGTTGAATTTTAACTGAACTACTTTCTGCTTGATGTCATCAAAGAACAATGGTCCTCATTTTGAGATGCGGAGCACAGGGGTGCTGGGACCAGTTGTTCTACATGGACTAGACCAAGGAAAGAGAGATTTATCATGGCAGAAATGGTCATACAAGGTCTACAATACATTCATTAAACTTTGGTGACATACTTGTATGGCCAAGGAGCCCCAACTTACTACTGTCTCTTTATACAGGTTGGGCTAAAAGGAGAAGACATGAATCTGGGTGCTCTACATTCCATCTCGGAGGTGGATTGGATGAAGGGGTCCCTAGTGGCACATAAACAGCAGCCACTGACATGGTATAAGGTATGGAAATGCTCCTTCAAACTTTGAAGCTTGACTAGAATGGTTTTTGTTTCTTATTTCCTGTGTTTATATCTAAGAATTCAACTGAGGGTTGGAGAGTGAATTGGAGTTGGTTCAGTCTCCAACAGCAGCTTAGATTCATTTCAAAGTTCCTTTAGAACCATTGAGCATTGTTGGTAACAGACAGCTCTGGTTGAACCCTCAGGCCAGTTTTGATGCACCAAAAGGAGATGACCCCTTGGCTTTGGACATGGGGAGTATGGGGAAGGGTCAAGTATGGATCAATGGGCAGAGCATTGGAAGATACTGGACTACTTATGCTACAGGCAACTGCAGTGAATGCGCTTATTCTGGTACATACAGGCCTAAGAAGTGCCAATTTGGTTGCCAGCATCCACTCAACAATGGTACAAACTTCTTACACAACTTATTCATAAACCAATTTGGACAACACAATAAGAACCACTTTAATTATCCATTTTTGTTATGCTATGGTTTCAGGTACCATGTTCCTCGGTCTTTCTTAAAATCGTCTAACAACCTATTGGTAGTTTTTGAGGAGATTGGTGGTGATGTATCAAGGATTGGTCTAGTAAAAAAATCAGTGACAAGTGTTTGTGCTGAAGTTTCTGAAAGCCACCCTCACTTCAGGAATTGGCAAACTGAGAGCCATGGCCAACTGGAAGAGCAAAATAAGCCAGAAATTAGCCTACACTGTACAGAGGGACACTCCATTTCTGCCATTAAATTTTCAAGCTTTGGAACTCCATCTGGAAGCTGTGGAACTTTTCAGCATGGTGACTGTCATGCTCCAAACTCAAATGCTGTCCTGGAAAAGGTACTTCTCAGAATGCTCCTAATTTGCTGCAGAAAAAAGCGTTAAAAGTTTTTTCAATTAAACAATATGGTTTTCAACCTAATCTAGACAATAGTAATATTCCAACAACACATTCTGAATTAAAGAATAAGTTCTTATTTTCTTTGCATCTTTTTTCCTGATGTCTGTCTTTTTACAGGAGTGCATAGGCAAGCAGAAATGTTCAGTGACCATATCAAATACCAACTTTGGCAAGGACCCATGTCCAAGCAAACTGAAGAAGTTGTCTGTGGAAGCTGTTTGTGCTCCTATATAAGTACTTAAATTGCCACAAGTTGAAGGGCTTAAGAGGAAGTTGAGAAAATCTAATTCCATAAAAAGAAAGAAATTGGATCAGCAGCAGAGCAATGTGTTAGCAGCAAAATATGGAATGTCATATTTTTATTTATGGAAACGTAGGTATCGTCTACGGTTGTAACTTGTAATTGTAATTAGGTCCAAAATCGCAATTCAATTCAACCTGTATGACCAACATTGTCGTTTCCACTTGTAGTCAGATTACCAATTTTATGAAACTAGGCAATGGATGTTTTTCGATACAAGTGATATTGACGAAGGATGGAATTGAATCTAGGACCTTGGGTGTGACCAACATTGTCTTTAACATATGCTAACTTGAATATCCACACTCGATAGGAAACTTTAATCCATATTTCTAAGAAGTTAAGTCACTAAGGGCTAGTTTGTTAAATTGTTACACAAGACTATCTTGGCATGAACTATGCTTAGGGATTGTCTTGGCTTGGCTTGGTCTAAGTTGGATAATACTTATCCTGCGTTTGGTGTATGCTTGGACTAGGACTAGATTTTTTTATTTTTTCAAAACAATATATATATATATATATATATATAAAAAACAAACGACCCCTGAGGGTTCGTTTGGATGTGATTCTTGATAGGCCAAAAAACACTTCTATGTAGAAGGATTATCCATATAATCACTTTAAGTGGTTTCAGAATCACTCCCAAATGAGTTCTAAGGAATTCCATAGGCCCTAACATTTGAAATCTGAAATTCATTTAATAAACTTAAATCCGTAATCAACATAAGCCCACAAAATTCAACTTGGATCATAAAGGATTGGTAGCTCAAGTGATTCAGAGCATTTACCCTTGCACCTACAATATTTAATCCACCCATCAGATTGCCACGCGTAATAAGGATTTCATAAGACGAAATGTGATTAAATGGGAATAGCAAAACATTGACATGTCCTTGTGACCAATGTCTAAAATATTGATGATTTCAGAAATATCAGTAGTCTAGAAACACAGAAATTTCAATAGAAATATTGGGATATTATTGATATCGATAAAAATTGAATAGAAAACACAGAAATTGTACGAAAAACTTGGAAATTTTTATTGAAGAAGATGTTTATTTAGTCAATTATCTATTACTTTATCACAAAAATTTTGTAAGAAATGCATTGCATGATGAGTTTAACTGATTTAAGTTGATTATATAGCGAGCTGACAAACACTTCGAGTGTCGAAAATATGTAGTAATTAATGAAAGAAGATTAAGCACACCATAATAATTTATTTATAATGATTTATTACAATATTTTACACTTTATACATAGTAAGGTAAAATAGTGACTTGGTACTACATAGAGTTCTTATAAGATTCAAATTTGAGTTATTTACACTAACACCTCATGAGGTTTTCGACTTTTTTCACAAAACTCCTTGAGGTTTTAGAAATTACAAGAACACCCCCTAAGGTTTTAAATTGTTTTCACAAAACTCATTTTCATTGATTTTTCATCTAAAGATTGATGATTATAAAAAAAAAAAAAAAAAAAAAAAAAAAAAAAAAAAAAAAAAAAAAATCCCCCCCTCCCTAAATGAAATGGGCCTTTGAGATTAGATTATACTTTATTGAGGTTAATTTTGTCATTTGCATAAGTTTTTTATTTATTAATAAAATCATCAATTTTGTAGCAATATTTTGACAAAATATTGCTGAAGTGTGAAAGAAATTATCGACATCAATATTATTCGATATTATCGATATTTATACAATATATATATAGATATGTTTCAAACAAAAGTGAAGAAAGAAAAGACCCCAGTCAACACGCTGTCATTATTATAATACTATGTTAGATATATACACGTACGACAACCGGTCGATACGATCAAATACGTTAAAAAAGGCGCGTAAAGAAAGCTGTTATCTACTGTGCCCGCCTCTACCCTACAACCAAAAAGTCATCCTAATACGTACGAACAATCCCATCACCACTCCTCGAAAAATTAATTAAATAATATTTGGAATCTACGTGGAATTGCACGAATCATATAATTTTCGCTTATTTTTTTCCTTTTTATTTTCTAATTAAATTCTGAGCTGTTTTCAATTTCAATTCAAAAAATTCCAAATTCCAGATTCTTCCAAATCTCTCTGTGTTTGGTTTTGGGCGATGAGTTTGTGAAAATCTCTGCAAACGATTCGCCATGGCCAAACCAAAAGCTGCGAGACGAACACTCGACTCTTACACTGTCAAGCACATCAACAAGACCGTCAGAGGTAGTTTCTAGAAAAAAAATCAAATTCGAATTTTCAATTCACTGTAAATTTTGATTTTGATTTCTCTCTCTCTGTCTCTGTGGCGATCAGCTGGGGACTGTGTGCTGATGCGGCCGTCGGATTCCGGGAAGCCGTCGTACGTGGCGAAAATCGAGCGGATCGAGGCGGACAGCCGCGGCTCCAACGTGAAGGTGCACGTGCGCTGGTACTATCGGCCGGAGGAGTCGATTGGTGGCCGGCGACAGTTTCACGGCTCCAAGGAGGTGTTTCTTTCCGATCACCACGACGTTCAGAGCGCCGACACCATCGAGGCTAAGTGTACAGTGCACACCTTCAAGAGCTATACCAAGCTCGACGCTGTTGGGAACGACGACTTCTTCTGTCGTTTCGAGTATAATTCCTCAACCGGAGCTTTCAATCCCGACCGTGTCGCTGTGTACGTTTCTCCTTTTCTCTCTAAGCTCATTGTTTTTTACTGTTTTGCCTAAAATTGGCTGAATTGAAGTGAATTGGCGATTGAGTTGTTCTTAAATTCAACTTTTATTTGGTGTTTGTTAGTGATTTTGTGCTTCAGTTATATGCTTTCCTTGGTATTCTATTGAATTGAATGTAAAAGCACGGGACTTTATCTTACTCTTTATAGTTTATTCATTGCAATTTAGAAACTTAGGCTCTTCTGATAAAGAATAGGACAATGAAGTGAATGAGATGAGATACGATAGAGGTGAGAAAGAAATGAAGGAGAATACGTAAAACCAAACCTAAAAGCTAAAACCTTTTTAAATTCTTCTGGGGTTTTAGGTTTTATCTGTTGTGCAAACTATGCTCTATATATATATATATATATATATATATATATCTTCTCTTCATGATGCCACATTTGTTTCTCACTTTCCTGTTAGTTTTGCCCCCTTCTGTTAAACAATGGAACTTTATGTTCAAGTTTTCATTTGCCTTCCTTCAGTTATATATCTATGCGTACTTGCTTTTTGAGTTTGGGAATTACAACTAAAATATATTTGAGCCTTGAACTTAAGTTCCCATAATTTCTTTCGTTATATAGGTTTCCCACAATTTTATTTTATTGATGAGAACTATTTGTTTGGCTTTTATGAATAACAAGCTGATGTTGTTTCAACCTTGGGTTTGGGGATAACTGATATTGGGTAATTTCACTTGAGCAGTTCTTGCTTATCCCAGTTTCTATTTTCATGTGGCAGGTATTGCAAGTGTGAGATGCCTTACAACCCTGATGACCTCATGGTTCAGTGTGAAGGTTGTAGTGATTGGTAAGTTAGATGTTCAGCTATTCAATCGTTTGTGCCCCTCCAGCACTTTTGCCTCAGGAATGGTAGATTTTAAATTTTTTTTTTTTTTTTTTTTTTTTTTTTTTTTTTTTTTTTTTTGATAAAGCTGGTCTTCTGAATATTTCGTATAGCTCTAGATAAATTTTTATTGACTATTTAGTTTAGGCGTGCATGCAGTTGTTATCCATGTGCACAATGAAACTTTACTATTTTCCATTACTAGTTCTCTAAGATTATGACTTTGTACCTTTTATACATTTCCCAGAGACCTTTCTGACTTTGATTAAGCCATACTTGTCTGGGCATTGTGTATGTGCCTTATTAATTATTTAATTATGTTACTTTCTGTTTTTATCAGTGGGGTATAGCATTTTTACTAGATAGATGATGTGCAGAATGACTTCACATATTTCTAATTTTCTTGCATATAGAATTCAAAAAGACTGAGGAACCAACCTCATTCTGAGGTCCCTCTGGTTTCATTTCTTTAATGATTTTATTTAGTTTTCATTTGGATGGTCTTTTATAATAGTATATTTCCAACACAATAACCCACTAACTACTGAGAAACAAGTTTCTGAGAACCTTTTTATTTTGAGACACTTATTATAGCTGTGGAGGATTGATTATTATAGCTTTGCGTGATTAATCAATACATGTTTGTACAAAAATATTGCACTGAGACTGAGGGTTTTATACATAACAATGTGGCAGGTAAATTATGGCAAGCAAATGTACTCTATATATGGAGACATGATGTTTGCAATAGTGGAAAGAGAGAAATCTAAACATCTGTTAGTGGTTATAGATAAGGAAGTTATTTTAGGAGAGGATATGTTTCATATATGCTTTAGTAACTTGTACAGCAGAGGTATTCTTCTGGAAAATCAAGATAAGAGTAAATTCAGAGGCATGAATGGCGGTAGTTTAGATGATATTAGATGTCAGAAAATGGGTTATTAAATATTAAGTTAAATTCCTTTTCACAAATATATTAAGTAAAATTTAGCTTGGGAAAAACTAGGTTGGGGTAGTATTCACCATCTAGTATACCTCTAAGCCCTTATAAAAGGACTGTATATATCCAGTTCATAGAAGTTGGCAGAGTTCAAATCATTGTTCTACTTGGCAGGTACATCATGATGAAATTGTGTTGGTATACTACTCTGCATCTGAATTCAAACATACATGGGCCAGGTGCCTTCAAAGATTTAATCATCATGTAAATAATTATGAGCGACTGTTTAAATGTGAATCAGCTAGGCATTATTGTCTAATTGTGCACTGAATGGAGTCTTGAAGTGCTTCTAAGTTGAAAGAAGTTTACCATTTAAGAAGCATTAAAAATTAAAAGTGTTGATTTACCCTTTTCTGGATGGGTATATTTCTGCAAATGCGTCTTAAATTCCCAATGTTGTACATGGAATGAGCATAAATTTTGTTGCTAAGTGTATATCCTTGTGCTGGCGTGCCTTGGGCATTAGTTGTGTTGCTAAGCTACTGCTTTCAGTAGCTCCTGAGGTACGTTTGAGGCTATTGCTTTAGAATAGTAAAAGAAGTAAATTAAATGCATTGAAACCTGGAATGCATATGCCTTCATTTGCCTTTTCATAATTCATATTCGCTTTGTCTATTTTCATGTGTACTTTCTCCACCTTTCCAGTCCTTTTATAAAACAGATGAAATCTTCATTTTACTGCATTTGATTCAGGTTTCATCCTGCTTGTATAGACATGAATGCAGAGGAGGCTAAAAGACTTGACCACTTCTTCTGTGAAGGCTGTTCTTCCGAGGGTCAAAAGAAGTTGCAGAATTCCCATACTGCTTCCAAACACCCTGATACAAAGGTACTCCTTTTTTCTTTAGTGTTGGATAAATTTGAACCAGGTTTGTCTTTGTGCTTCTTGTTTATTTGTGGACTCTATCATGTCATCTGGAAATTGGCAGGTTATTGGGTATGTTTCATTTTTATATCTACCAATTAGAATTGTTAACTTCTGTAATAGTTTGTTTTTTTCTCATTCTATCCATTATTATTTGATCCCATGACACAGGGGTGTGATACATATATAGTCTCACTTTTAAAATCAGTTATTTAAATGCCACGCTGTCCCAGTCTCCCAGAGAACCAGTAAAAAGGGGAAAAGAATTGAATCGAAAGAACTCATTATTAATTTCCCGGACAAGCTTGCATGCATCGTGGTATGCATCGTGCAAGGAACTTCATATAATAGGCAATCAGTAAGTGTAATGCCAACACAAAAGATTCCGATGTGTTTGCATATAGGTTCATTAATTTGTACTACTTTATATGAATGGAAAAGCGTAAATATTTGTTATGAGGTAAAGAAGTATACAGAAATGCAGGTAATTTATTTTTTACGAGAAGATATAGTGGGTTATATGTAAAACTTAGATATCAAAAGAACCAACGATGCGTGCATCATTGATATTTGTTGGGTCTAGCATCCCCTGTAAGCAAATGAGCATAATCTGTGTATATAGTGAATATGAACTCACTACCCTTAGTTACTAGTATTCCTTGACTTTCACTCATGCTGTCTTTCAGGTGGATACAAAACGGCGTCGGAGGTGATATTGTATATAAATCAATCTGATGAACTAGAGGTTCTCTTGTTTGGATCTTTGTTAGGGCTTAAGCAAACACGGAGGCATATCTGCACCACAAGTTGTGTGTATTTATGAGTTAATGGGAAGACGAAAACCAGCTCGAAAACCTTTATGGTGTCTATTTGGTTAGAGGTATCTCCCCGGTCTCTTTTAAAGGTCGAGGATGTGTTTGGTTGTGTGTAATTATATGTAATTTAGATCCTCTCCCGCACTCTCCCTTTCCCCTAGGATTGTGAATATTCCCAAAGTATTTTGCCAGTTACCACAGTAGCAATAGATAGAGGCTTTTCACGCTAATCTATTTCACTTTGGTATATATTGTTTGGGTCCTCTTGCTAGACCTAGATGCAGCATTAAGAAGTTGGATGCTATTTCTGTTTTTTTTCCTTCTGCAAATGTATATAATGTCTTAAGAGTTTGTTCCTTCTACAATTTGGTTCTTTTTTCTTTTCGGTTTTCCCAATAGAATTCTATAGTGAGAGCCTTAACTAAGGCCCTTAGATGAGACCCTATCTCTTAACCATTAGATCAATTTGGTTAGTTTGATCCAACGAGATAGGGCCTCATCTAATGACTCAGTTCTCCCAATTGGTGGATCCGCCAAATCCTTGTCAAAATATCTGCAATAGATCTTTGCACACCGTATTAGTGGGGAAAACCCAATAAAAGCAAAAGAAAACCTCTATTCTAAAGCATGGGACATGCTTCTGTTATGATTTTCTACACGCATGATGGCCGCGTTTGCTGCGGTTTCTGTTGGTGTTAGCTGGGTGCACTCTGGCTATGCTGGCAAGAAATTATTTAGGGATAGGTTGGGTAATGAAATAATTTCACGTGGTATAACCAATCAACTCATGTTATAACACGTGATTTTATTATGAATACCACATAGAACATGAACCCGACATTCACCCATATTAGAACATAGTGATTTTGTTATATCAAAAGGTTGAAGGTGCTCATGTAAGGACTAGTCTCTGATATGCAGATAAAAGTGACTAGTCTCTGATATGCAGATAAAAGGGAATGACTCAACTATTAAGTAGTGTTCAATTGAAAATTTTGGACCCTATTAAGGGATAGAATTAAAGAGTGGTCCAAGTTTCATTCCCTCCAATGTGTCCAAAAGAAAAAATTGCCACAAAAAGAAACAAAATCGCAAAAGAGAATTCCGTTGCCGGGACTTGAACCCGGGTCTCTCGGGTGAGAGCCGAGTATCCTGACCAACTAGACTACAACGGATGTTGATAATAAGTGCAGCTTAAAACTATAAATAGAGTAAGGACCATCATGATTATAACACGAAAGCCAAGTTCTGAAATTCCAACTACGATCAATCATCCCTTCTAAATAATATATAACCAAAATTAAACACGATTTTTTCTTTTTAGTTATTTATTTTCATTATTTTGATATCTAGAATATATGTATAAAGTAGGGGTGACATTTTAAACTGAAAAACCAAAAAACTGAAAAACCGCAAAAACCAACCGACAATTTACCGCAATGAAACCACAATCGCGGTAAACCAAACCGCATTTGAGGTATTAAGAACCGAACCGCATTTGCGGTTGCGGTTGCGGTATTTGATTTTCAAAACTTGCGGTTACTGCAAACCGCAAAGTATAGCCGCACGGATGATGAAGTTAAATTTTACAAGGAAATGGAACATATGATAACTTGTAAGTAATTAGTTTATTTATGCTAATGTTATTTATGCTTCTTCTTATAATAAAATGTACTAAACTATGTTGTTTTATTTGTAGATAACATTACTATGTTGTTTTATTTGTAGATAACATTGGTGCTCAAACAACACAATGGGGTTCTTCAAATCCACTCACCACCAACACTTGAGTTTGTAACATTGGTGCATTGCATTTTCCTTTTAGTTTGTAACTTTAATTAACTTTGAATTAGATTTTTATTTTTAGTTGTAACTTTAATTCATTGTGCTTTGCATTTTCCTTTTGGTTTGTAACTTTAAAGGATTTGGAATTGGAATGCTTGAGAAGTTTAACTTTAATTAGAATGCTTGGAATTGTAACTTTAATTTTCTTAGGTTGTGAATGCTTCAGAAGTTTAGGAGATTGTGAATTTATATATGTTTGAGAAATTGAGGTTGTGTATTTATTTATTTAGGTTGTGAATTTATATTTTTGTGAATGCTTGAGAACTTGCGGGTTTGAACCGCTAATTCGGGGTAACCGACCGCACTTTGCGGTTTACCGCAATGCGGTAAACCGCAAAACGCGGTCGGTTTGCGGTTTCAAAAATCACCAAACCGCAAATAATCGGTCGGTTTGCGGTTTGAGTAAAAATTTGCGGTTACCGAACTGTAACCACCCCTAGTATAAGGAATAATTCTTGTTAAACAAAAAAGGCTTTTCTAGAATATGATGTATAAAGGAATATATGATCACAAACTCATTATTCTTTTTCTTATATTCAACAATGGCATCCAATTTCGTAATTAAATTCATTATTCTTTTTAATATTCTGAATGTTTATTTAAAGGAAAAGTGTTATTGTGCATATCATGTTTTTTCTTCTGCAGTACAAATTGAACCCCAGGCAACTCAAACTTCAGCTTGAGATTATGGATATAGAAGCTAAAAGCTACCACAAGAAGATGGAGTAATTATCTCATCTGTGACAAAGCTGAAGGCTAAACCAATAAAATTGGCATTCATAAGGTTATCAGAACTTGCATCTTGTTTATAAGAAAATTAAGCATTAAGCTTTTCACTATAAAGCACAGAGCACCACTTGAACACCAAATTATTCAGAGTTTATGGCTCGAAACGTACATCTCATTTGCATTGGTGTCTCGATCCAAAAAATTTGGTGACTTGATATAAAATTGGCAATGGATACAAACACTTATTACAAGTAATGTCACCCTATTCTTATCTGCTTGGTACAGTTTATAATACAGTATACGAGATTTTCTAGTCAGAAACAATTTCGGGGCGAAAAAAATGGAAGAATTAAGCAGTCTGCACGTGTGAACTGAAACTTGTATCTCTCTGTATATGTTTGTTTTAACCTGTCTTTGATCTCTTCCATACAATAACCGTACCATAGAAATCGGATGATGCTAACAAGTTCTCTCCATGGTTCCAAGCAACACCGATAACCGGAAATCGATGACCCTGCAGTCACATATATTTTGGTCATTTGGGTCCAGTTTGAGACTAGGAAACCATTAAAGCCTTGTGTATGAATAAGATGAACCTGTAGCTTGTTTACACATGTATGCTTTGGCCGAGTTAAATCATAGAAATACACATTTGAATCCTCACTTCCAGCAACTAGGGTATTTTAACAACATGGCAAGTCAGTAAACACACACATAAAAAGTAGTAACAGCAAGACAATGTCAGTAAACCCACATAAAAAGTAGTAACGAACTATGTGGTAGCATTGATGTTGACATACATACCTATATATTCTCCTTTTTCAAGAGAAAGCAGAGGGCAGAAAGAAGCCCGGATGCTGTATATCCGTGGATTTAATTTGAGTGAGCAGCGGAGAGTCAAATAACCCTGTATTTCCAGAGCAACACTACAACATACCAATCTTGCTGTCAGTGCTTTAAATAAACAACAAAAGTAACAAGGCATGTTCTGTGACCAAACCTGAAGAAAGACAAACTTCCATCTTGAGTACATGTCAGCAACACAGGGCCCCGAGCCAACAGAGAAAAACTTCGGTACTGCACAGTTGTGACTGGAGATTTGCGCCTGATGCTACTTCGATGGCGATGAGAGCGGGATAATACTCCTGTGTGAGAATTCATACTTACTGAATAGATACACCCCTGCAACGAATTATACAATGGACTATATCAGTAAAAGGATATGCGAGCCCATCAGAAGGGAACTTGAAATAAGTATATGCAATGACACACCGTCGCATCCCCACAGAACATGAGCTGTCCAGTGTGAGCATAGTCCATGGAAGTAACCTCACTGTCAAAAAATATTTTATGAATGATCCTCCCTGTGCTGAAATTGAAAACCTGATATATCGATGTAGAAGTGCCACCAATCAAATATAATGATAATGTCCTTGAAATACAAACATTACTGGAAAATGACGGCCAAAAATTCGGCTGTGCATGAACATAGGGTATTCAGAACCTAAGTTCTTTTCCTTTCTGAAGAAGCAACATGCAAAGGTTTCAGTCATTACCGTAACTTCTTTGTCTGCATTGCCAACTGAAAGGAAGTTGTTATTTACCTACATCAAGGAGATGAAGAGAAAACAAAATCTTAAATTGCACTGTTGCATACCATGTTTTGAATAATTATAAAAAAACGAAGGCAAATAATTTTAATTTTGCACTAACGTCATCATAGAAAGTCAAGGGAAAAGCCATTATTAATTGAATCAATGAAGGTTGTGGAACTTGATTCAAATGAGGGGGATTCGAGTCTAGTGGGAAAGAATCTTCTATGAGAATCTAGTAGAGACGGGAACCAAAAGCCTGATAGGCATTTAACATCTGGACTAAAATAAAACAACTTGCACTGATGAAATACAAAACATTTTAAACATGCACATATAATAAGGTAACAAATATAAAAATGGATTGCAGCAATTCTGAGGAGCCAAATGTTCTTAATGTTTGTATACACTTACAGGGTGAAAACGAATACACAGTTGCGAAGAAACTCCATATATTACTCGAATGCAAAGGCCTTTTGAAATCTCCCATACTCGCACAGTTTTATCCATTGATGAGGATGCAATGTACTGATTGTTTGATGAGAAATCAAAGTCTGAAAATGAATTAGAATTTCAGAAGCATGATCCAGAAACAAAACAAAGTTTGTTTTTATCAGTGCCTAAGAAAAAAAAAAAAAAACTAGAAGATTTGCATCCAGTACAGAATTACGGACTCAATGTTGCATATCATGATTCTTTCGCCTTTTAGTCATCAGAACCATTTTGAACAACTGTAAATTTTTCAGTATACCTATTAATTTACTGCCACAAGTTGATTGGATTACCAAAAATAAATAAAAATGTTGGTGGTACTAGAGTGTTTACTTGGAGCAAGGTGCTTAAGCCTAGGACTTCTTATGCTACCAGTCCGTACAATCACAAAATTAAATTTTGCACCATAAAAATCTACTTATTTATGGAGAACAGGCAAACAGGGCTACAGATATTATTATTGAAAATACGAAAGAAAAAGACAACAGTAACAATACCAGTCAATCCAACCTGTAACATCTTTGGAGTGACCAAGCAGATGCTTGAGGACTGATGGTGGATCAGAGACAGTGCATACTGTCAAGGTTCCGTCTGATGCTCCATATGCAAGCAGATCAGAACTCATGTGCCCAAACTTCAAAACCGTAACTGTACATAAAAACAAATGAGGTTTCTTCCTTTTAAAATGTTACATTCGCTCTCAACTTAGTAACACAACCAGGGGGGTCAATTGGTCTAGTACTTGCAGGAAAAAATTACCAGAGGCTTTGCACTGATCAAAGATGCAATGCATTCCTACAAACGAGTATGCAGGTTCAGCCCGACGATTACGTGGGCGGTCATTATCACTATTACTTGAGCCAAAACTTCTGCGAGGCGAAGGTTGACTGCCACTTTGGACGTCCTATAAAGAAAAGAACAACATGAACCCATGATCACAACCAAAATGGGAAAAAAACAGTTAACAAAGTAAAATTCTAATTTTGCACTGTAATCCCAAATTTTGCCCAAGGGTCATCACATTTATAGCTCGGAAACTAAAACTCACATCTCCACATTCAAGCAATGGAAATGGATGGGGATGAGCAACATATGCATATTATATAGGATTAACAAAACCCATAAAGGAATGGAATTTGAATTACAGAAACACATACCCTGCCAGGGCTCCAGCTTTCGACATCATACAAAAGAGACCGTGGACTTGGAGGTGGAATCCATCGCCCACTGATGCATGAAGCAGTAAATTACCCTGATGTCAGCATACATTACGAATTTAAGAAAACAAAACAAAAAACTCACTAATTAAAAAAGATTAATTATGATTTCATCACAGTTTGGTTTGAGAGAGTAGCAACGCAAAAGCTTGATATGAATTGATGGGTCGCCGGACCTGTTTCCGGGAGTGGTTTGGAGGCTCGGAGTTTGCATATTTTCCCAATTCCTCGGCCTCCGGATGTAATTTCGAAACGCAACGTACCCTTTTCCATTGCATCTCCAATCCTTCAACGATCAAAATCAATACCAGTATGCATGAAATGAATGAATTTCTGAATTCTGTAAATTGTTGAACACAGAAGATGAAGAAGAAGAAGAGAAGACGATTACAAGGCGGCGTTGAAATGGAGACTGGGGCTTGCGAGAGAGAAGAAGGCGACGAATGCCGATGTAGTCGGGATCGGAGTCGGCGGGAGCAGGCTGAAGCAAGCAGATCAACAGCTGTGGATCTCCATTCTTCTTCTTCTTCCCCTTCTCTTGTGGAGCACCACCATCACCATTGGCAATACCTATCTTCTTCTCCTCCTCTTCTGGAGCACCATCATTACCACCATCGCCATTACCGGCCTTCTCTTCCGCCATCTGGGTTGTTTTGTGTTCTGGGTTTGGATTTAGCTTTGGCTACGTGTTTGTCTATGGAGGAGTATATAGTTTGACTCTGAGAGAAGAGTCTTAGGTGGGTCGTTGTTGTGGAACCGTTAGATGAGATGACACTGGATCTCATCCAACGGTTAAAAGGAAAGAAAAAAAACATCTTCCCTTTTACTAGCAGACTCGAACTCCTCTGCTTTGAAACTTCAAATTTTTTTGGACATGTTAAAGATTTTTAGCCCAATTTTTCAGACTTTTAAAATCTTAACACCCGATGTAGGCTTAGATAGAGGAAGATAGAGAATCTGAAAAAGTAAGGTATTATGGAGATGTCGCGCTTAAAAGATAAAATAATATGGGTAACAAGTCAGAAAATAATTTAGAACAAACAAATTTGAAATAAAATTAAGTTTTTGAAATTTCAATTTTCTTTTGATAAAAACGTTCGGAAAAATAAATCATGATTGTATAAACAAAATTTTCTCAAGAAAAATTAACCACAAATTTTTTGTAGGTTAAAATCATTTAATTTTTTTTTAATAAAGTTGCTAACTCAAATTTTAATTTTGCACTATTTGAAACTACTGTGTACATGAATAGTTCTATTTTACAAGGGGAAAATTTGGGATTGAGTCCGCTTGCATCGAAGATGATCTAAAGGTTTTTAACATGTTCAAAAAATGGTTAGATTTCCTATTTTCCCACAAGGCAATGGGTGAGGTTTGCTACATGCTCTAAGCTCTTACATGCTCTAAGCTCTAATGGATAAGGTAACATGCAAGGCAACTTTGCCTCAATGTGTCTGGTAAGGCAACTTTGCCTTGGTAGTTGTTAAAAGAGATTGGTGAGTACAGCTGCACAGGTTAGGTTAGGTGATTTGAGAGCTATATTGATCTTGCATTGAGCTCTTTCTTATCTTAGTGAAGTTGTTTGACTGGTCTTGGTGTGTACGTTTCAGAATGGTGGCTTTCTTTTGAATCATAAACTCAAAAAAGAGAGGAGCAAATCATATCACAAAGCAACTACAACAGGAAGTCAATGATTTAAGTTTTAATATGCATTCGATCTCGGGAATCAATTTTTCGATGGTAAAAAGAGAGACACAAGAAAAAGGGTACAAAGATTTTTGTGATTCAACCTCAATCCTATGTCCATGTAACCATGTTGAAGAGGATCATGCATAAAAGCACATGAAAATATATAGCCAGTGAAGAAAACATTGAATCTTCTAATAATACTCATACATTCAGGCATTTAATTTATTGTTTCCATCAAGATCAGGTTCTTATGGACTTTGAATCATCAACAGGGTAATAGTGTCTGTTGAAAAGCCATGTAGAATCAGCTTCTACTGCATATCTGTCTTGATTACGGTGCCAGCTAAAGTAAGCATGAGTTCTGTTCTTTATGTCAAAAATTCCATGACCAAAACTGGCCTCTCGGAAAAGTGACTAATCTGGCTGTGGCTCTGTCATACTGCACCACAAGAAAGAAACGAAAAAAGTCACACATTAAGCTATCAGGCAATGCTACAAGCAGGAAATTCCGGTGTACTGATAAAATTCTTACACGGTCGATAAGCCTTCAAGATTTCCTCCATCACCAACTGTAACGTACACCGGTGCAGATTGATCTTTCACAGGAGTGCAATTTGCATTCACAACATTATATGCAACATTGGATATGCAACATTGGACACACGTTCCTGTGGTGTATACCAATTAAATCAGCATTTCTGCATTCTGCAAAATACTTTTCCACAAAATGGTTTCTTATGCGTATATTGAGTACTTACAGATCGTTCATAGGCATGAACATGACCGTTAAATACGACATCAATTTTGTACTTGACAAACCACGGTTCAAACGTCACTCTTATGCCTTCTCCTTCCATGTAGTGCGAGTAGTAGCTATTATACCATGGACAATGCATTATAACAATCAACCAAGGTGTCTCACTCCTGTTAACTTTTGGTAGCTCTGTCTCGAGCCATTGGTACTGAGGAGTGCTTGGACCTTAAGAAAAAGGAAATGATATTTGACATGAAAATGCTGAAGCACTCAATTAATTTGAACACATAGTACAGAAGATCTCACTACCAAATTAGAAATTAAAGACAGGACATCCTGCACAGAGTCGGACTATGTATATTGTATATATCCTCACCATATGCCGAATAAGAAACCAAGACTATGATGTATGCCGAAGCTCTCTTGATTGAGTACCAAAATGGGGCAGTACTCCCTGATGCATTATATGGGACATAATACCGGTGAGTGTAAGGCTTAAAAGGTATTGTTTCACCCTGCAACAAAAGTACCAATCTTCGTTTAGCAAAGTACTTCATCTGATGACTTTCTTAGGATTTGAAAAATTCATTAAAAAAAAAGAAAACAAGAGCAGTAAATACTGGGATAAATTTAGTGGATGAGTAGAACTGTAAATAAACTAACAACAAAGGCATCATGGTTGAGGAAGATGCTATATTTCAAGTTCATTAGCCATTATACAGAATAGTGTACTTCTTTAGATTTCACACAATGCAGACCCTTCTTTCTCTTTGGTTGCCAAAGATGAGGATCATTCTTATAATGCATGTATTTCTTACAACACGTGTATACACAATTGTACAAAAAATGATCTAATCGAAGACGAGAAAAGATAAACAAGAGTATAACTTTCCAGACAAGCTAGTGTTTTATGAGATGCTTACAAGTTCTGAGGCAAAATCAATCTCATGATTCCCTGCACTCCAGCACTTCTCTCAGTGAATCTCCCCCATGTATCCCATCTAACATTATCATGATATGGATAGTCATCTGCATAGGAGAGGTCCCCAAGATACAAAACTGTTTGTCCTTTCAGCGGATTTAATGCGTAATGAGTAAGCGTCCTATTTGAATAAAAGGTCTGACCCAGATCACCTACAAATGATACCCAAATGGTTGGTGATATATAGATTTTAACCACACACTGCAGCAAAACAATTTATAGTTGTGTATTATCCATTATCTAGTTCCCAAATTAAGGCCATAAAGCAGACTGTTTAAAATGGTAGACGTGCACACTAAGGAACAAGTTTCACAAGATTTGAGCAACAATTTTGTTTTTCAAGATGGAATGGAAGAGGGCCATTGGAACAAACCTTGTAACCCACTCAACAACACGAAATTACATTTGAATCACAATGCCAAAACTTGAACCAAGTCTAACTAGCTACAGCATTTTATGATCCATCCTGTTTCGATACGAAATACTGACCTATGAGACCAAATGTGTCAGGTACGTCCGACCAACTTCGGGAGGAGTTGTAAACCAGAATTGCCTCTCAGTATTGCCTATTCCAACTACATAGTAATATGTGGTATTGAACTGCACAAGAATGTGAAGTAATTGGATCACACTAGAGTCTTAAATACTTGGGCTGCATTCATACTTTCAATTGGAAAATTCCAAACCTGTTCTCCGGTACAGACTCCACAACCTATGCATTTGAAGAAAAAGAATATAATGCAAAACATAAAGGACATGAAATTTACCGATAAATTTCCAATAGTGCAGTGGTGAATGTATCCAGAAGTGTAATTGTAGAATGTATAGGTTGTAACAACGCCCTCAGACGTCTGATTCTTGCTATCTGCACTCCAGTAAATCACCCCACTGTAGCCTGGTTCATCAGCAGTGATCCAAGACACGATCACTGCATTTCCCTGATGGTCTCCTTGTGTATATGAACCTTAACTCAAGAGCACACACATATCAGAAACTACACCTACTAATCAATCCCATCATGAAGAAAAATAAAAATATGAAGTAAGCCATAAATTTTCAAAAACAAGAAAACAAAAGAGAAAAACTACAATGACAAAGCTCTCTCCAGCGGAGGTAATATAGTTGAGCTACCATTGGCTAAAAGTAACTTAATTCTAATGAGAGAGATGGAGATTATACTTCTTGAGGTGCATTATGGCCAGGAGGGACTTGAAAGACATCACTGTCAAGCGGCATATCTGCGCTCTATTTAATGGTCCTCACAAAAGTGCTTGTTATGCCTCCATTGCAGACCACTGCCAAGTTCAAGACCAATCCCAATACTGCAACAATTGCTACCATTGAAGAAGCAGAAGTAGAAGAAGCTAATCTCACCACACCCATCTTGGTCATATTGTCCCAGACAGGCCCCATTGAGCTATGGACCCTAATTTCCATTATATACACATGAAACAATAAATCAAAAGAATAAAATTCTATAACTTGTCACAGAATGTGGGGACTATTCAGAGCTCTATACAAATATACAGATTAGATGTCAAAGAGTCGAATCCAAAAACAAATAGGGTTTGCCTGGATTTTTTTCAGTTGCTATCTTTCTTGTAATTTAGTTGTCTTCTGGGGAAGACAAAATTGAGCATGAAAAGTGCATTGTTTGCATATATATGAGAGAGAGAGAGAGAGAGAGAGAGAGAAACATAAGTGCATTCTTGTTTGATTATTCCTAGAGAAAATGGCATATGGTCAAGCTACTAGCGTCCAAGTCTAATCTACTATTCAGTGTAACCTTTGTTTCATGTAATTTAAAACTTGCCTTGCAAATCTTGTTTCTTTCTTTGGTTGGTGTTGTGACCTTTGATTTTTTCCGGTTGTCTTCCTTTTTTTAACCCTTTGCCAATGTTTTGCCACTCGGCGTTTTCTCTAGAGACAACACAAAAGCATTCTCTTGGAGTAGGAAAACAATGAGTATATTGGGTCCCAGCGGATTTATGCGAAGGAGTTTCTCATGTCTTAATCCGTATGTTACGTGAGAATAAAGTTTCGAATTTATGCGTTTGTGTATATTGTACAGGATATGAGAGTTTGTTTCATGATCTCCAAGTCACTGAACTCAGGCATATTGAATGAGCCATCTACTTTAGGGCATTACAGAGATAATGAAGATATCTATTTGGCTCTCTAGTTTTAAAGCCTCTATGGCTTGTAAGTATCAGAAACTCAAGGATATGATGCAGATCCTCCTTCTATTAGGTTTTTCTTTTTCTTCAAAAAGTACAAAATAAATGAGATTCAAATTTGTAAGAGTTGGGGGAAGGTATAAACTATTGAATCTTTTATTAGCTGATACATTTGGGTGCTTATTCAAGAGAACAATAGCAACATAACGTCTTCTAATTATTGGGCACTTGTGGAATCATCAACAGGATGATAGTATCTGTTGAAAAACCACATAGAATCAGCTGTTACTGCATATCCATCTTGATTCCGGTGCCAACCATAGTATGCATGGGTTCGGTTCTTGATGTCGAAAGTAGCATGACCAAAACTGGCCTCTCTATAAGCTGAGTAGGCCGGCTGGGGTTCTGTCATGCTGCATCACAAAAGAAAATTTTCATAGACTCAGAATGCAGTGCTAACAAAAGGCATTGAATCAGAAAACACCAATTCTATCTCGCATACTGACTTAACGCCAAATCTATCGCGCATACTGACAGACTGAACATCAAATCTATAGCGCATACTGACACACTTAACACCAAATCTATCGTGCATACTGACATACTTAACACCAAATCTATCATGCACACTGATATACTTACTTGGTGGCTAAGACTTCAATATTTCCACCATCACCAATGGTAATGTAGACCGGTGCGGATTGATCTTTCACGGGAATGCAAATACCATTTACGATGTTGTATGCAACATTGGACATACGTTCCTGTTGTATACACAAATCAGTGAAATCACTTATCAAGTCCTGACATCTTGAATCTTGACAGTAGATGGAGGATGGTAAAAGGAAAATAAAATAAAAAATACAGTGTGCTTAGTATTAGGTATAGGCATTTCTGCAATGTACGTTCCCTGAAATGGGTTCCCTATACTTTATCGAAAGATTAAAGTGTTCGATAAATCGGATCAATATGTTGAATTTAAAAATCTTTGTGGTACAAATAGAGACTATTTTGTTATACAATATACCCAGTTCTATGCAGAGCAGCACACCAAATCACAGGGACAAAGGCATGTATATAAAGTACTTACAGATCGTTCATAGGCATGGACATGACCAGCAAATACCACGTCAACCTTGTACTTCACAAACCATGGCTCATACATCACTCTCATGGTTTCGCCTTCCATATAGTGATAGTTGTAACTATTATACCATGGTGCATGCATTAAAACAATCAACCATGGTGTCTCACTTCTGTTAACCTTTCGTAGCTCCTGCTCAAGCCAAAAGTACTGAGGAGTGTATTTACCTTGAAAAAGGAAACGATATGTTAAATGAAATTGCTGAAGGACTCAGTTTAACACAGACGTTATAAATGTGACCTCTCTACAGAGTCAGAAATTGACTGGAGGTTCTGTGGAGAACAAGAAATTCTAATTGGTGTACATGATAATTTGGAAGCAAAATCCTATCATTTTAAAAACAGCCGTTACAAAATATCTGTATGATATAACTTAAACAATCAGTCCATGATGTCATTTGCAGAGATGAATACGGTATACTGCTGTAAAAATCCATAAAAAAAGAGCTTACTATTTAAAGTTTATTGTGGATTCCAACCTCCAAACCACGCAAAAATTAGCAGGGACCACAGGAGCTGATGTAACAAATGCAAGGAGTATCCAGTTATGTCTTTATCTTTTCTATTTTTCCTTTTTTTTTTTTGGATTGAAGTATGTTTTTATCTATTTATTTCAAGATGACATTTGTAATAAATTTATGGGTGGCAAAGTTATGCATTTGATATTCAGAAAAGAAAATTTTGAATGATGTTAATATATTAACCAAAACATAAATGTCTATCCTTACCATATGCTGAATAAGAAGACAAGACTATGATGTATGCTGAAGCTCTCTTGATTGAGTACCAAAAGGGAGCAGTACTCCCTGATGCTTTATATGGGACATGATATCGGTGAGTGTAAGGCTTAAAAGGTTTGGTTTCACCCTGCAACAAAAGTTCCAATCTTCTTTTAGAAAATGCTTCATCCAATGACTTCTTTGGGACATGGAAATGCATAAACAAAATGAGCAGTAGATACTGGGTTAAATTTTGTCAAATACAAGATATTTGGAAGGACAAGCGCACGTATACAAGTAATACTAAAGACAGATTATATAAATACAAATGATCTCATCTAAGACCAGAAATGGCAAATGAGAGTATAAGCTCACTTTCTAGAGCAACCAGTTGTTTTATGAGATGCTTACAAGTTCTGGGGCAAAATCAATTTCATGATTCCCTACAGTCCATATCCAGGGTTGATACGCAACACTCCTCTCGGTGAATCTTCCCCATGTATCCCACCAGACATTATCATGATTTGGGTGGGTATCTGCATAACAGAGGTCCCCAACAAACAATACTGCTTGTCCTTTCTGTGGGTTTAACTCGTAATGAGTAAGCGTCTTATTGGAATCAAAGCTCTGACCCAGATCCCCTGAAAATGATACATCATGGTAAAATGTTATTTAGATTTAAGAAAGTACACTAGATTTAAGAAAGTACCTCTAAGCTAGTCAATAGCATGAAATTTCCTTTTTAATCCAATGCCAAAAGTTGAACCAGATGTAAATAGCTACATTACTTTACAATGCATCCTGCTCTGATACGAAATACTCACCTATGAGACCAAATGTGTAAGGGACGTCTGGCCCAACTTCAGGAGGAGTTATAAACCAAAACTGCCGCTCAGTGTGGCCAATGCCAACCACATAGTAGTATTTGGTATTGAACTGTGCAAGAATGTATAGGATTAGATCACACTACAATTTGTAAATTACACTTAGACTGCAATCATCATTACAATCAGCAAATTCTCCAATCAACCTATGGATTTGAAGGAAAAAGAAATGAGGCAAAAGAACATGAGCATATCAAGTTTACCTTTAAATTTCTGATGGTCGTGTGATGAATGTAACCAGAAGTGTAATTGTAGAATTTATAGGTTGTAACTTTGCCCTCAGATTTCTGTTTCTTGCTGTATGCGCTCCAGTAAAGCACTGTATTGGAACCTGGTTCCTCCACCGTGACCCATGACACAATCACGGCTTTTCCCAGCTGGTCGCCTTGTGTTATATGTACCTTAAATCAAAGATCAGACACATATCAAAATTAAATTAAATCACTCAAAACTACACCTATTAATCAGTCAATCCCATCAAGAAGAAAGCAAATTATAAAGTAAGCCATCAATTTTCAATAAAAAAAAGAACAAATTTATATAAAAGATATTGAATTAAATAAAGGTTCTTTAATGGTTCCAATAAAAGTTGTCTAATTATACTAGAGAGAGAGAGATCATACTTGTTGAGGTGCAGGAGGGACTTTAAAGACATCACTGTCGAGAGGCATGTCCACAGTTTTCTCCACTTTCCTCACAAAACTACTTGTCTTGCCTCCATTACACACCACTGCCAAGCTCAAAACAAAACCCAACACTACAACAATGGCTGCTGCTTCCCTGGAAGAAGTACCCATCTTGGCCATGTTTCGCAGAGGACCCTCAAAACCCACGAATCCACAGACAGCCTACTGAGCTTAGGACAAGCATTTCCTTTATATAGACTTGAAATGAGTTTACTAATAAAGAAAAAAAAAATGATTTTCCATAAAATAAGGGGAATATTCATGGCTTTATGCGGATAACAGAGATTGGAAGTCAACGTATTGAAATTTGAATGCTAAATCTGGTTGTGGGGGTTGCTCTGGGAATTTAAGAGGGGCTTCGGGGAAAATAATGATGATGGGATATAGTTTGTTTTTCACTTTGATAGGAGATAGTTGACTTTGGAGTTTTGGGAGAAAATGTAGTGTGGAAAGTTCTTTCTTCATTGTTTGACTGACTGTACCGACTTAGAAGAGATGTCGATGTTAACTTGAAGTAATATTTTATCTTTTTGCAAATCCACATTTTTTATTCAGCTAACCCAACCCAAGTTTGTTTTGTTTATATAGAGTTTGAAATGTTAAATATTGAACATTAAATTTAAATTTGATGATGGCTCGAGTAAAAATTTGACATATTATAGTTTTTTTACGTTTCACCGGATGGGTCAAATTAAAATATTATTTTATTACATATTATTTATTAGTTTACAACAATTTAGGCATATTAATTGAAAAATAATAATAAAATAATGAAATAATATCACAAGGTTGAACAACCAAAAATAATAGCAAAAGAGAAATGCATAAGATCTTTTCATTTTTGCATTTGGATATTCTTGTCATATTGTTATTGACAATAATGTTGGAGTTCCAACTTACAAAGAAAGGATTATTAGCAGATACATTTGAGTATTTATTCAAGAGAACGACAGCAAAATATCTGTTAAAAAACCACGTAGAATCAGCTGTTACTGCATATCCATCTTGATTCCGGTGCCAACCAAAGTAAGCATGGGTTCGGTTCTTGATGTCGAAAGTAGCATGGCCAAAACTGGCCTCTCTAAAAGATGAGTAAGCTGGCTGTGGTTCTGTCATACTGCATCACAAAAGGAATTTTTCATAGACTCAGTATGCAGTGCTGACAAATACTTACGGAAATGAATCAGAAAACACCAAATCTATCACGCATACTAATATACTTACTTGGTTGCTAAGCCCTCAATATTTCCTCCATCACCAATGGTAATGTAGACCGGTGCGGATTGATTTTTCACGGGAATGCAAATACCATTTATGATGTTGTATGCAACATTGGATATACGATGCTGTGGTATACACAAATCAGTGACTTATCAAGTTCTGACATCTTGAATCTTGAGAGTAGATGGAGGATGGTAAATTAAAACAAATACAGTGTGCTTTAGTATTAGGTATAGGCATTTCTGCAATGTACTTTTCCTCAGATGAGTTTGGTATTCTCTCTTGAACGATTAAAATTTTCAATAAATCGGATCAATATGTTGAATTTAAAAATCTTCTATGTTAGTTCTATGTAGATCACCAAATAACTGGGAAAATATTTGCATTTTATGGACATGGCCAGGGTATGTATATGAAGCACTTACAGATCGTTCATAGGCATGGACATGACCAGCAAATACCACGTCAACCTTGTACTTCACAAACAATGGCTCATACATCACTCTCATGGTTTCTCCTTCCATATAGTGAGTGGTGTAGCTATTATACCATGGTGAATGCATTAAAACAATCAACCATGGGGTCTCACTTCTGTTAACCTTTGGTAGCTCCTCCTCAATCCATCTGTTCTGAGGAGTGTATTTACCTTAAAAAGGAAATGATATGGAAATGAAATTGTTGAAGCACTTGCTTCAACACAGACATTGCAAATGTGACCTATGTACAGAGTTAAGGAATTGACTGGACATTCTGTGGAGAAAAGGAAATTCTAATCGGTGTACAGTGTACACGATCATCTTGGAAAAAAATTCCATCATTTTAAAACAGAGTCATTACAGAATATCACTAAGGTATAGTTTGAGCAATCAGTACTAATGTTCTAAAGAATTTACATGATGTCATTTGCAGAGATGAATACAACAATACACTACTGTAAAAATCCATGAAAACAAGAGATAACAATTTCACGTTATTGGGGATTCCAACCTCCGAAACTACGCAAAAATTCAGTATAAAAAGGAGCAAAAGAGGAGCTGATGTAAAAAATGCAAGGAGCATCCAGAAAAGTTATGCATTTGATATTCAGTGCATAAGCCTTTTGTACGATGTTAATATATTAATCAGAACACACACACACACACACATACATATATATACATATACATGTATATATTTATGTATAACCTTACCATATGCTGAATAAGAAGATAAGACTATGATGTATGCCGAAGCTCTCTTGATTGAGTACCAAAGGGGAGAGGTACTCCCTGATGCATTATGTGGGACAGGATACCGGTAAGTGTAAGGCTTAAAAGGTTCGGGTTCACCCTGCAACAAAAATTCCAAACTTCCTTTTAGAAAAATACTTCATCCAATGACTTTTATTATAAAATGAGCAGCAAATATAAATATTCCGTTAAATTTTGTAAAATACAAGATATACAGAAAAAGAACATTACACTACACACATGCGCATATAAATCATACTGAAGACAGATTATATAAATACAAATGATCTTATATATCGAAGACGAGAAATGGAAAATTAGAGTATAAGGTCATTTTCTAGAGCAAACAAATGTTTTAAGAGATGCTTACAATTTCTGGGGCAAAATCAATATCATGATTCCCTGCAGTCCATATCCAAGGTTGATAAGCAACACTTCTCTCGGTGAATCTTCCCCATGTATCCCACCTGACATTATCATGATTTGGGTAGAGATCTGCATAAGAGAGGTCCCCAACAAACAATACTGCTTGTCCTTTCTGTGGGTTTAATTCATAATGAGTAAGCGTCGCATTTGAATCAAAGGTCTGACCCAGATCACCTGAAAATGATACCCAAGTTACATTAGAGTGGAACAATTTACATTTCACAAACACAGGCAATCTCATCGATTACGTAGTTCCCAAGTTAAGGAAAACTGTTTCAAATGACAGAACTTGCACACTAAGGGACAAGTTTCATGAGATAAAGAACTCTAATTTGGTTTGGTATCATTCAAGATGAACGGAGGAGGCTCATTGCAACACCTCTAAGCTAGTCAATAGCATGAAATTTCCTTTTCAATCTCAATGCCAAAAGTTGAACCAGATGTAAATAGCTACATTACTTTACAATGCATCCTGCTCTGTTACGAAATACTCACCTATGAGACCAAATGTGTAAGGCACGTCTGGCCCAACTTCAGGAGGAGTTATAAACCAAAACTGCCGCTCAGTGTGGCCAATTCCAACCACATAGTAGTATTTGGTATTGAACTGTGCAAGAATGTATAGGATTAGATCACACTACAATTTGTAAATTACACTTAACTGCAATCATCATTACAATCAGCAAATTCTACAATCAACCTATGCATTTGAAGGAAAAAGAAATGAGGCAAAAGCACACGAGCATATCAAGTTTAACTTTAAATTTCTGATGGTCGTGTGATGAATGTGACCAGAAGTGTAATTGTAAAATTTATAGGTTGTAACTTTGCCCTCAGATTTCTGTTTCTTGCTGTATGCGCTCCAGTAAAGCACTGTATTGGAACCTGGTTCCTCCACCGTGACCCATGACACAATCACGGCTTTTCCCAGCTGGTCTCCTTGTGTTATATGTACCTTAAATCAAAGATCAGACACATATCAAAATTAAATTAAATCACTCAAAACTACACCAATTAATCAGTCAATCCCATCAAGAAGAAAGCAAATTATGAAGTAAGCCATCAATTTTCAATAAAAAAAGAATAAATTTATATAAAAGATATTCAAATCAATTAAATAAAGGTTCTTTTATGGTTCCTCTTCCACAACAATTGACTAAAAGTTGTCTTAATATTGGGTCCTTCCATTTTGGCGCCCCAGTATATAATCAGTCTTGAAAAGTAAATTCTAAAGAAATTGAAACAATCCAAGCTCAACAGAAAGATCAACAATGGAGAACTTCAGAGAAAGACTAAATTCATGCTCATGGATCAATATGAAATATAGAAGAAGTCCTGCAAATTCATTATCGATGGCACATCAAATACTGAGTCCTCAATAGTTTTTTTAGTACTGATGTGATTCAATAGTTTTTCAACATCCAGTACGGAACAGAGGATGACTAAGACTTCATTTATAGCTGCAAATCTCAACGTGGCTGGCAATTTATTCACACTTAATTATGGTTACCCTTCAGTACCAAGCTAATCTTTTGCAGAGTGTCTTAATCTTGCGGCTAATTGCTTGTAGTTGTCCTCATTCATTATGATTACCTAGGGGAAGAAAAACATGTGTAAAAAGAAGAAGACAGTAGAGTAAGCTTAAGACATCAAATATACAGTTTGTTCATAGCTAGCTCAACTCTGTTTCTTTCTTTTTTTTCTTTTTCTTTGGTCTTCTTTTCCCCTTCTGCTTTCCTATATAAAGGCACACAATGCAACAATTAGAGCAAGCTCTTTGATTCTTTGGAGTGCCTTCAAATCCTCACACACTCCTTAGTTAAAAGAGCTTCACCCCCAGAATGGCAGCCCCTGATGCTTTCCTCTTGGCCTCTGTTTTTGGCGTTCTTAGGCTTTAGGGTTTAGGGTTTGAATTGGGTTCCTTTTTCTTTTCAATTTTCGCTTGGTTTTCAATTCTAAACTCTCTCTCTTCGTGGCCTTCATGGTGTACCTAGCGCCACTGTAATCTCTCTCTCTCTGTCTCTTTTCGCTTGAGCTTGGATTGTTTCAATTTCTTTAGAATTTATTTTTCAAGATTGGTTATATACTGGGGCGCCAAAATGGAAGGACCCAAGAGGAAATGGAGGGACAGAGTTCTGAGGGTTGGGTTTGGTCGAATGGGTAGTGAATTTTTTACGTTAGTTTTGACGGAAATTAATTGGAAGGACCATTTTGATGGGTAAATGATAGCTTGAAGGACTATTAGTGTCACAAAAAAACTGAAGAACGATTCGTGATAATTTTGTAAACCTGAAGGATCATTTGTGATAAAAAAAACCTTAAATTAAATCACTCAAAACTACACCTATTAATCAGTCAATCCCTTCAAGAAGAAAGCAAATTATGAAGTAAGCCATCAATTTTCAATAAAAAAAGAACAAATTATATAAAAGATATTCAGTTAAATAAGGGGTCTTTTATGGTTCCTCTTCCACAACAAAATAGAATGTATAAATTAATAAATGGAATTTATATCAGAACAAGAAAAGCTGAATTTTTAATTTTTTTAATTTTTACAATATGCTACAATTGACTAAAAGTTGTCTTAATTATATCGAGAGAGAGATCATACTTGTTGAGGTGCATTATAGCCAGGAGGGACCTTAAAGACATCACTGTCAAGAGGCATGTCCACAGCTTTCTCCACTTTCCTCACAAAACTACTTGTTTTGCCTCCATTACACACCACTGCCAAGCTCAAAACCAAACCCAGCACTACAACAATGGCTGCTACCCTGGAAGAAGTAGATGCAGAAGCTAAGCTCACCAAACCCATCTTGGCCACGTTTTGCAAAGGACCCTCAAAACCCTTTCCACAGATAGCCTACTGAGCTTAGGACAGACATTTCCATTTTATACTAGAAATGAGTTGAGATCATTTTATTCACCACGCTTTAAACATTATTCAGTATTTAAAACTAAAAATATAAGTAAAAAAATAATTAAATAACATTAAATCTCACTCCTCTCTCCCCCCACCCTCACCCCATCCCTAGCGACCATTCCCCAGCAACCCCCCTCGTTCACCCTCCCAACAACAACCTCACACCCTCTAATGTAAAACCAGAATTCAATCTCTGTAAAACTTATTGAAATTTTCGTGCTTATCCCAACAGTAAGTCATGGGTTTCTATTCTAAAACTTCATTCAATTTGGCTTTGGGTATTTTTTTGGTCCACATCTGGAATTTTGATTCAATTTTTGGGCTTAGTTTTCAGTCAGTGTGTTTATCTTTGATTTGGGTATTGTTAATTTTTCGGGCTTGTTTTGTTTCTTGTCTTGGATGTGTATGATTTTGGGTTGGAATTGTGGATTCTGAGTGTTGGTTATGGCTAATTTGCCTGGTTTGATTTGGTGGGGGTGGTTGGCAAGGGAGAGCTAGAGGGTTTTGGTGGAAGGCACTGGTTCGTATTGTCAGTGGCTGATTGGACATAGGTAGCAAGAATTGAAGAAAATCAGACGCTTGAAGGTGTCTTTCATGGGTCTTGTCGGTGTGGGTGGTGGTTGGCTGGGTTGGTGCGGGGGAATGGTGGCTAAGGTTGCTGAGGGGTGTGACTGGTGGTGGTGGCTCGGGAGGTCAACGTATTGAAATTTGAATGCTAAATCTGGTTGTGGGGGTTGCCAGGATTTTCTTTAACAATTGCGCGTTGGTTGGGAATGTAAGAGCATCTTCAGGGGATTGCCCGGATTTGTTCCTCTTCCACAACAAATATCAAACATTAAATTTAAATTTAATGGGCTGTGGCAATTTGACATCTTACACAATTTTACACTCCACATGATATGTCAGATTAAATTATTATTTTATTATATTT